TAGCAATAAAAGAGTATTTCTTAGGGGCTGGGGGTTAGCTCAGTGGCATAAGCGCCTGCCTTGCAGGTGTGTAGTCGTGAGTTCGATCCCTGATACCAATAAAATAAAAAGACCCCCAAAAAAAGTGTTTCTTATTTCCCACAACCTCACCAATATTTGCTGTTTTTTGAAATTGTGGAGATAGTTATTCTTCCTGGAGTAAAACAGAATCTCAGTGTTTTGATTTACATTTCTCTAATGGCCAGAGATGCCAAGCACTTCATTATGTACCCACTAGCCATTTATACTTTATCTTTGAGAAGTATCTATTCATTTCAATTGCCTATTTTTTTTTCCTTTTTATCGGTACCAGGGATCGAACTCACGACTGCCTGCTTGCAACGCAGGCGCTTATGCCACTGAGCTAAATCCCCAGCCCCATCAATTGCCTATTTTTTTGAGTCTTTCATTTTTGAAGGATTTTTTAAAAAATATATTCTTAAAAAAATGTATTCTAGATATTAGACCTCTGAAAAGCAACTGGCAAAATTTTTTCCCGTTCTGTAGGTTGTCTCTTCATTGTTGATTGTTTCCTTTGCTATGCAGAAGCTCTTTAATTTGATATAATCCCATTTGATGACTATTGGTGTGTCCTAGACTCTTATGGAATAGCCAGGGCTAGAGGCCACTCCTGAGTCCCTTCAGTGGCTAGTGGGATGCCCAGCCTTCTGGACTCCAGGTAGGGCAGGAAGTGAATGTACAGGGTCTGCAGGCAGCAGAAGGGCTTTACACAAGTGAGACAGCCGTGGTGGGGTGCAGCCATGGGGAGGGGGCAGCAGAGAGGAAGACGAGGTACAGACTGGCGCAGTCTCTGAGAGACAGTACCTGGCACTAGCCCCATAGCCTGTTGGGCTGAGCTGGGCCCAAAGGTGTGGGGAGCTCAGGAACCTCACACCAAAGAGCTTCAGGCCTTGGTCATTAAGCTACCCTCTAGACCTCCTCAGCCAGTGGCACCAGGAAAGGTGGGCCGGTTGGATGTGGAGCCTTCTGGACTCAGGTCCAAGGATAGGGGCTGAGGCAGTGCTGTTCCCAGCTGGCTCCACAGAGTCCACAGACTCACTTGGAGGAGAATGGTGCCTGCAGCTTTTGCCAGGCCTGCCTTGTGAAGTGTGGCTGAGCTGGAGATCAACCATACATTAGGGGTTAGAGCAAGGCTAGCCCCGAGAACACAGTGCTCCAGAGGTGAGCCATATAAATAAGTTATAGGGACTGGAGCAAGGCCAGTTCAGCAGGTGTCTGGCCTTGGTGCTCTTCCCTATTAACTATAGCCCAGATAGCTCTGAAAATGTTTCACTTTCAGTGTTCTCAGCAAAACACTGAGACTGCACTTTTGGCCCTGTGGCATGCTTTCCGCTGTTTTTATAGTGCATAAATAAAGAGGCAGACATGCTAGGTTGTTGCTGCCTCTCCATTGGAGAGGTCAGGTCCCACCTGGTCCCAGCTTCCCTTTTAGTATGTATGTGTCTATAGCTTTTTTCTTAATCTCCCATCGCCCCCTCTCAAGACCTCACTGGCTGTGTGGGTCGAGGCACCACCTCTCCTGTCCACATCATTCTCGCCTCTCCCCAGACACCTGCACCTGTCCTAGCTCCAGGCTCCACTGCTCACCAATCCCCCAGGAATGAATCTGCACCCTTCCCTAGAAACCCCACAGCCAGCCCCTACCATCTTTCCTACCTAAATCTAAGTCCTAAACCCTGAGTTTGACCCAAAAAATTAGAGTTGGTGAAGACAGGCCAAGAGGGAGGGCCACCTAAGAGGTGGGCCTGGAGCTGAGCTTTCAAGGAACAGCAGGACTTCTGAGGCAGGAGAAATGAATTGAAAGCTCCAGTTCGGCCCCACCCAATTTATCTAGACTGTCTCAAAATGAACCTAAGCATGGTGTTGTGCACCTATAATCCCTATACTGTGGGAGACTGAGGCAGGGGACTGGGAGTTCAACCTCAGCATGAACAATTTAATGAGAACCTGTCTCAGAGTAGAAAATAAGGACTGGGGTTGGGGATTTAGCTCAGTGGCATAAGCGCCTGCCTGGCAAGCAGGAGGTCATGAGTTCAATCCCCGGTACCAATAAATAAAGGGACTGGGGATGTAGCTCAGTGCAAAGAATCTATTTTTTTTTAAGGCCTTGTGTTTGATTCCCAGTACTAGAATGGACTCTTGGACAGACTGAGCACTGAGTGACCCATCCTATGTGTCACTCTCCCTCACAGAAAGACAAACGGGATTCTAGGGTGGGAGGCTTGAGTCCTTCTGGCAACCCAAACTTCAGCTGGGGACCGAACACCTTTCTCGGCTGGGGGTTCTTGTCCCTGCCCCTGTAGTCTTGGGATCCTTTAGAATTGTAGCTGGCTCTTATGAACACTGCCTGCCTGTCACAGGCTGATACACTGTTGCCTCCCCACCCAATAACAGTCTACCCACTGCTTCCCAGCTGCCCTCCAAGTGAAAGAGTAACTCATCATTTGCCTGTCAGCCACACCCATGCTTCTGGCCCTGGCTCTGCCCCCTGTCTCCCCAGCTGTGTTTGGGTTGGGCCCAAGGTGCCAGCCTGCCTAGCCAGCAACTTGGAGGACATCTGAGCCCTCCAGGCCTGGCGCCAGGGCCCGAGTCACTGATGAGAGGTGGGGTGGAGGAGCCTGAGAGCCAGATGGGGGCCTCTCCCGGCTGTCAGCGCCCATGATGGATGAGGGTTAGGGCAAGGAGAAGAGCCAGGGGGCTAGAGGCCTGCCTGCTGCAGTATTGGTGGGGGCTGGCCTCCTGGGGTCTGCACACAGAGCCTCTGCCACTCACAGCTGGAGTCTGCGTAAGGGCTCCCACCCAGCAAGGGTGTTTAAAGGCCCAAAAGGCATTGAGCCTGCCCACTCCCTGGGTATCATGGGCACTTGGGTCTTGTCTGTAGCCCTTTTCTTCCTCTGTCTGACTCCTGAGAGCCTGCAAGGCGGTGAGGACAAAGGGCTGGGAAGCTGGGATCAGAAGACAAGAGCATTGGCCAGGGAAGGTGGAGGTGTGGGGAGCCTGGCCTAGCAGAGAACTCAGATAGGAAGCTTTGAAGGTATAAGGATGCCTGGGTCTTATCCCTTCTCAGCATTTGGGGTCCTACAGTGAGTAGCCACTTCTTGCTCCCACAGGGCTCTCCCCACTGCCTGTTGGCCTGAGGAAAGGTAAGCAGACCCTCTGAATTCTGGGGTCAGGGGAGAATGACCCTCTCCTGCACTGGGGACAGCCCCAGCTGTCCCTTGGCCCTGGGACTCCAGCTGTGGGATCCCTCCCTGTCTTCTGGCAGGTAGCATTGTCAGTGAGCAGCCCAAGTGTGGTACAGGAGAGGCAAGGTCAGGAGGTGGGACAGAAGGGGTGGGGACAAGGTAAGCGGGAGGGGCTAAGTGCCACAGAGACTGTTCATTCTAGGGCCTATGGGGTGCTAAGGGCAGGTAGAGGAGCTCCCTCCTGAGACCTGAGGCACTTGGTGTGCCTCAGACCTTCATAAGTGAAGGCAGAGGTGGGTAAGCTGGTGAGGAAGCAGGCACACCAGGGGGGTATTTGCTGCTTTCTAGCTTGTTCTAGGGGTCCTATGTCCTACTTTAGCTGGAAACCCTTGCCTCCCTGGCCATCTCTTCCTCCTTTCACGGGCCTTCTAACTCAGAATGGCTATGGAGCAGGTAGATGTGGAGCCAGAGAGTGCTAGGAGCCAAGATTCTAGGGGTTTCCCTGGGCAGGGTACTCCTGCAACCTTCAACTGGTCTTCATTTCTTTGTTAGGCATTTGGGTGTGTGTGTGTGTGTGTGTGTGTGTGTGTGTGTGTGTGTGTGTGTGTGTGTTTGAAACCTCTGTCTTAGCCTCAGCCCCTTTCTCTACGCCCAGGGAACCCCAACTTCAGCTCCCCTGCTGCCAGACTGCTCTCCTTACTGTCCTTTGCCCTCCTGTAACCAGTAGAAAAACTGAGGCCCAGAGACGGAAGGGTGGCATCCAAATTTGGCCTTCCTTGTCCATTCCTAAGTTACTCTCCTCTCCAACCACAGGCTTTGAAAGTCCAAATGGTTACAGGTCAGGTAAAACTGTTTGGGGGCTGTGGTCCTCAGGACACAGCACTCCAGCTTCTGCCCCTTCTGCCCTGCCCAAGGCTCAGCTGCTCATTTCCTCCACAGGTTATGGCTCTCCCAGTAGGCTGGGAACAGGTAAGAGCTGAGCCAAAGAAGCAGCGTATCTGGAAAGCAATGCACCTCACGTCTCTCTCCCCAGCCAAGTGGGAGCAGGGCAGCAACAGGGAAAGAGGGGGCAAGCAAAGTTACCTGAGGGGGGCAGTCAGAATGGATCCTCATATTCCTCTATATGTCAGGGGATGCCAGCTGGGGAAAAGGAAGAGGAGGATGGGAGGGTGTTGCAGGGCCCTCCTGTGCACAGGATGCTCCCCAGCACTCTGAGCTGAGTGGTCCTGTGGGCCCAGGGGATGATTCTGGAGAGTTCCTGAGCCCCAGGGCTGCTAGGTCATCTGCCTTTCTGTCCTCCAGGATTTGGAAGCAGTGCTAAACCTCAGAAGTCAGGTGAGCCCTGCCCCAGCCCCACTCTCTGTCCCTGTCTTTCTCCTGCTCCCTTTGCCCCATCAAGTGTGAGAATGGGCTGGCAATGCAGTCAGGTGACAGTAGAGTCTCCTGGTCAGCCTGTCCTCTCCCTGCCTCCCTCCCAGGGAAAAGGGATGGGACTGGTGAATGTTTTGTTTTGTTTTGTTTTTTGAGGGGAGCATTTTCTGCCTTCTGGCTTTGGTCCAGGAGTCCTATTCCCCACCTGAGCCTGAACTTCATGCCTTGCCAGCTTATCTCCTGTCTCCCTACAGGCCTTCCAGCTCAGAATGGCTATGGAGCAAGTAGAGGTGGGACGGGGGGACTGTGAACCGAGATTCTAGGGGTGTCCCTGGGATGTGGGGCTCCTGAGACCCTCAGCTGACCTTCATCTCCTTCTCAGGCATGGGAGGGGGTGTGAACCCTCAGAAGCCAGGTGAGTCTTACCTGCCTGTCCCCTCCTTACTCTGCCTTGACTTCCCCTTGCTCTGTCTTTCTGGAATTTAGGACTCAGAATGGGAATCCGATGGGAAGAGAGGTCTTCTCAGGTGCTGCAGCCTAGCCTAGGGAGAAGGAGAAAGAGGGCACTCCTGAATTTTTGCCTGGTTTTAGGGGGTGGCCTGGCCAGCATTGTCAGGGTCCTGTCCCAGGCTCCCCCAGGCTTCAAGAGGGCAGGTCTGCTGTCTCACTGAGGTGGTCTGCGAAGAGATGCAAAAGGACCCACTGCCTCACCCCAGATGGACCCTAGATACACCTCACCTTTAGCTCAAAATTATTGCCAAGCAGCCAAAGACTTGGTAGAGCACACCTGTAACCTCAGCCCTCTGAGAGACTGAGCCAGTAGGATCATAAGTTAGAGCCCAGCCTCCGCAATTTAGTGAGATCCTGTCTCAAAATAACAAAACCAGGTGTGGCACATGCCTGTAATCTTAGCACTCAGAAGGCTGAAACAGGAGGATTGCTTTGAGTTCAAGGTCAGTTGGGGCTACACAGTGAGTTCAAAGCTACCTTGAAGTACATAGCAAGACACTGTCTCAAAAAAAAAAAAAAAAAATATATATATATATATAGTTTTTATTTTATATATATATAAAACATAAAAACTATAGTTTTTTATGTTTTTTCATACATGAAATAAGAAAAGACTGGGGATAAAACTCAGTGCCAAGGCCTCTGGTTTAATCCCCACCCCTTCCCCCAAATAATAACTACTGATCAGAGATCCAGGGTTCCTTTCACCTGCTCCCCACCTCTCCCCAGGCTTTGGAGGGCCTGTGAAGCTCCAAAAGCCAGATGAGAGCCAGTTGCATGCCTGTCCCCTCTCTGACTCCTGTCCTCTGTCCCTGCCTCCTTTCACAGCCACAGTCCCCTCCTTATTCTCTCTGGCTCTGTCTCCCCAGAATATGGAACCAGGCCAGGAGCTACAGCCTTCCTAGGAGTGGGAGCTCAGCCAGGTGAGGACACCTGGGTTCCAGATCGAGGGGAGGGCTCAATCTCTCCCCCCTTTTCCAGGCCTGGGGGAAGCTCTGAAGCCAGGTGTATGGAGTCTTCCCACCTCTGTCTTGGCATTATTTCTGTGTCCCTCAGTGCTCCCAGGAATTGATAGCAGAAACTGCTTGGATGTCAGCATTTTTGCAGGGGCAGGATAGTTTTTAGGTGAGGGAAATTCAGAGAAGGTGGAGGAAAAGGGCTCATGATATCCAGCCTCATATCTAGGAGAGAGCTAGCTGGGTTCAGTGTCAACCTCTTTTCTCCCCCAGGCCTGGACGGGGGCATGCAACCTCTATGCTACGTAAGGAATGAGCCATGGCTCTTGCCCCATCTCCAGCTCTACTGTCTATGTCCCATTTCTCCCTATCACTGTCTCTGCCACTGTTTGTGTCAGCCACTGACAGACCAGCCCATACATTGTCCTATCGACACCACTCCTGTGGTGTGAGACATGGTACTGGACCTGAGCAGCGTCTCTCAGGCTGCTCTCTGGGCATGCTCAGAGGGAAGGGCTGCTGTGGACATGAAGCACAAAGGCCAAGGGACACTGCAGGAGCTGGTCTGGCCCTACATTGACCTAACCCCAGCCTCTGCCTTTCTCTTAAACAGCCCCTGTGATTCAGAATGGCTATGGACCAGGTAGGGGAGACTAGGGTGAGAGCAGGGGGTTGGTATGAGGGTCCTATGGAGCTCAGGGTTCCCTCACCTGGTCTTTTTCCTTCTTAGGTGCTGGTGAGGATGTGAACCTTCAAAGGCTAGGTGAGTATGGGACACAGGGCTAGAAGCCGAGCAGTTGGGGAGTGTGAGGCCAGACTGCAGGTTCAAGCTTAGTGTGGCAGCCTTAGTGACTTAGTGAGACCCTGTCTCAAAAATTTAAAAAAAGGCTGAGGTTGTAGCTCAGTGTGAAAGCCCTAAATTCAATCCCCAATTTGAAGGGGGGGGCGTGACCAGGTGAGCCGTGCCCTGTCCCAATGTACCCGTGTGTGAGTACCTCACACAGCTGACCTAGGATCCCCTGCTTCCTTCCTGCTGTTTCTCCCAGGGCCCAGCAATGGGAATGGGATGGGAGCTGGTTCCTCTCTGGGAGTTGGCATCCAGTCAGGAGAGGGCACTTGGGCCATGTTGTGGTTCTGGGAATGAGAGGGGAGGATCTAGGCGAGGGCAATCAGGGACCAGAGGGGCAGAGTACATTTCTGGTGGGAGGATAGTGGGTTGGATGGGGTCTGCACGTGGCAGCCTTTCTGGATCTTGCACAGGCATGGGAGGAGGCATGAAGGCTCAGAAACCAGGTGATTGGAGACTCGTTCTCCCTATCCTCCACCTTGGCTCTATCCTCCCTCACATACAACTTTCCTTCCAGGATTTGCCAGTGGGAACAGCCTGGCAGCCCAGCCAGGTAAGAGGTGGAAAAACAGATGGTCCCAAAGCAGCCCTAGGGCATGAGGGCTCTCAGCTTGCTCCTTTAGCCAATCTCGCCAGGCAAACTTGAGCCTTGGCCTTCTGAGCCCTGTGGATGGCTGTGGGTCAAGCCTAGACTCACTGGGCACAGTGCACAATCCAAGAACAAATGTTCAATTGGGCTTGGGGACTGTGGTCAGGACTGGGAGGGAATTCACCCGAGTGAAGGGCCATGGGAGCCAGGTGCTGGCCAGACCCAGCCTATGGCCACCTCAGCATCACTGAGAGATTTCCCATGTCTAACCCCACCCCCTTAAAAAAAAAAAAAACAGGTACTGCACCTCTGAATGGCTTTGGAGAAGGTAAAGAGGGAATGGGAGCTGAGGGCTGAGGTTCTGGGAGAGACCCAGAGATGAAGGGCTGTCGACTACTCATCTCTCCCCAGGCTTTGGAGGAGTTGGAGAACTTGAGAAGCCAGGTGAAGCCTCTATTGCACCTATCTCTGCTTTCCTTTATCTGCCTGTGTTCTTCTCAGGTCCTTGAGCTTCCCTATTTTTTTCCACTCTGTCTCTGTAGGACTTGGGATCAGGAATAGGCTGGATTCTGAAACCTTCCCAGGAGGACAGATCCAGCCAGGAGGTGAGCATGGAGGTTCCCACAGGTGGGGGTACTGATGCAGGTATGCAACAGGTTTTCTTTCTCAGGCCCTGGGAGAGGACTAAGACCCCAAGAGTCAAGTGAGAGCCACTTTCTTGCTTCCCAATTTGGTCTCACACAACACTCATTCAACAAATCAATCCAGCTAGTCATGGAAGAATGCTACGCAAGAGGCTGAGATAGGAGGACCATAAGTTCCACACCAACCTGGGCAATTTAGCAAGCCACTGTCTCAAAATAAAATACAATAAAGGGCTAGGGATGTAGGTCAGTGGTAAAGCGCTTATTTAGCTTGTGCAAGGCCCCGGGTTCAATTCTCAGTGCCACAAAAACAAGGCAAAACAAAATAACCAAAAAACAATGCATGGACCACTGATATTCTGGGTCAGCCAGGTGCTAGAGTTGGCTCTCCCAGAGCTGGGGCAGCTAGGTGACAGACAGGACAACAAGACAACTTTAAAGGAGTTGGAAAACTTGGGAAGCCAGGTGTTTGTTTCATTGAAAGTTCCAAAAGGTTTGCTACCACTGGCCTAGAGTATCAGAGACCCTTTCTTTTCCTCCACCAGGTCCTGCAGCTCTAAATGGCTATGGACCAGGTAGAAGTGGGGTGGAGTGCTGGGAAAGCCCAAAGATGGGGATCTCCAGGCCCTTCACCAGCTCCCTGCTCTCCTCCAGGCTATGGAGGGGACATGAAGCCCCAGCAACCAGGTAAGCCCTGCCCTATCCTGTCTCTCTCCCCAGTCCCAAGCTCCTCTCTTTATTTAGGTAAGGCAGGGGTGGGCACTGGAGCCAGATGCCAGGGACCCAGAGGACAGGCCTGTGTTAGGAACATCTGGATTGCTCCTTCTCTTCTCCAGCCTTTGGCAGGGACAGGAAACTCCAGAAGCCAGGTTAGCTTTTTTGGTCAACACCCCACCCTCCTTCTCTCTGTTCCTAGAAACTGCCCACTGCCCTTCCCTTCCAAAGGCACTGTCTCTGCAGGGTGCAGGACCAGGCTGAGAGCTGGAGCCTCTCACTGAGAAGGGGCCCAACTGGATGAAGGGAAGGACGATAGGGCCTGTAGTCCCGGGTGGGGCCAGGCTGGAGTCTCCTGTCTGTCTCTCCCCAGGGCTGGGAGAAGCGGGTGGGAAACCTTGAAGCCAGACAAGGGCCCATCTCCATCCCTTGCCTCCTGGCTTTTCTTCCAGTCTGCCCCTCACACCCCTACTTTTCTTCTCCAGGATACCGCAATGGAAATGGGCTGGTAGCCCAGTCAGGTGGGGCCACAGGGAACAGATTTGGGGACCTAGGAGGGAGGAAGGGGTATGGCTGGGTGGGCAGGAAGCAGAGGCCCAGAGCCTGCCTGTTGTGGGCTGGTCTTTCTCCAGCTTGGCAGCTGTCTCCTCAGCTGGTAGGTTGGCCATGGGGTGTTGACTTCCCACTCCTTTCCCTTCCTCCCCTAATTAGGTCCCTGCCGTGAGGGGGTTGTTCCCCTGCTGCTCCCCAGACCTCCCACTCCAGGGGTCCCTTCAGATAAAGGGGGTGGCTGGGGCCTGAAATCTCAGCTCTCTCCCCCAGTCCGGAATGGCAAGATCCCAGGTCAGTGTGGAGTTCATGTCCTGTCTGTCATGTTCTCTGCCATCGAGGCTCAGAGAGGCAATGGCTTGTCATAAAGTGAGTCAGCTGGGGAAAAGCCTGGTCTTTGGCTCAGACAGGCTGCAGCCGTCCTACACCCTGTGCTGAGCTCACTCCTGCCCCTCAACTTTCTTCCTAGCGCTGACCCCAGCCATCCAATGGGGACAGGAACCTCAGAAAGCAGGTAGGGTTCTATTCTTCTCCAAGTCCACGTCTCAGAGGGACAGGCCCCCCACTCTGCCCTGACCTATGGCCCCCATCTCCACACCAGGTTAGGGTCTCTCTTGCTTCCCAGACTGAACAGCTGTTCAAGTACTTGAAACAATGGCTTTAGGAGCAGAGTGGCCTTCAACTCTCACCTTCTCTTCCTTCCTTCAGGGTTTCCTGAGGCCAGTGGCTTTAGGAATGGTGAGTCTGACCCAGGGGACAAGGTACAGCAAGTACAGAATCCACCCTCAACCTCACTTGCTATTTTCTGTGCTCTGTTTCTCTGGTGTCCTCCCCTAGATCTGTACTTGGACCCCAGGGAGTCAGGGAAAGCCTGCACTCTCCACCACTAACCTCCATCCTCTTCACAGGCTACCAGCCTCCCAATGGCTATGGACCTGGAGCAGAACTGGGTGAGATGGTCCTTGTCTGCCTTCCAGTCCCCAATCCCTTCAGTCCCTTTTTCACTCCCTTCCCACTTGTTCCTCACCTTCCCATCCTCCCTCTGCCAGCCCAGGAATAGGTGTAGCACAGGCTAGGCCAGCTCTGACCCAGTCTCCTTTCCCCAGGTTTCAGTGGTGGCCTCATGCTGCAGAAAGTGGGTGAGCCCTTCTCTGCTGTCTTCCCCCTGGCCAGCCCATCTCTACTCCCATCCCTCAGGTTTCTCTCCTCATTCACCAACACAGATTTGCCACTCACTTGGACATAATAGTGGCTGGAACCAGGTGTGACCCTGGCCCAGGGGAAAGTAAAGGAGAGTCATCCCAAGCCAGGTGAAAAGAAAGTGCAGGCTTAGAAGTTGCCAGGAAAGGAGGTCAGGCACCATTCCTGGAGACAGCAGGTTGCACTGATAGTTGGATGAGGGTGGGGAGAGTAATCCAGGAAAGAATAGCCAACTTGAGGTTCTTAAAGCTGCCTCTGAGTTCTGAGTCAATCTGTCTATGTGTCCCTGTTGCTAAGTACCACTCCTACCCCCAGCCCCAAACCTGGCCTCCCCAATCCCTGTCAAATCTCTCTGGCAGGTTTTGGTTACAGGAACGGAGCCCTGGGTGCTGGAGTCTTCCCTGAGGCTGAGCCGCAGCCAGGTAGGTGGCTAACGGTGGGGCAGGAGTGCTGGGCCCACAAGGTGGCCCTCATCTCTCACTTTCTTTCCTCCTCCAGGGTTCCCTGAGGCCAATGGCTTTAGGAATGGTGAGTCTGACTCAGGGGACAAGGTACAGCAAGTAGGGAAAGGGATGTGCCCAGGGCCTAAGCAGGAATTATTTGGTTCTCCTGCAGGACAAAGAGAGAAGGCTCCTGTGTACCCCAAGGCTGCAGCTCCAGCTCCACGAGGGGTCGGTAAGAAGCAGCCAGGTGAGAGCCAAGAGAGCTGGAGAGTGGCTGAGAGTTCTGAGGCCCATGTGGGAAGACCAGCTCTAGGGGCTCCAGATGCCCACACAGCTCTCCTCTGGCAGGTCAGCTGAGGGCCCAGCAGGGCTCTACTTGGTCTTACCTACAGCCCTGGGCCACTTGGGTGAGGCCTGCATATGGATACACAGGGCTCAGGAGCCAGCCAGGTAATGGGGCATTTGGAGCCCATGGTCCTACAGATACCCCACAGCCCTGTAGATGCAAAAGTAGAGGGGACGGAGTGCTCTAGGCTTAGGGGACGGAGTGAGGAGGCTGGGGGAGCAGGCAGAAAGGATGGAGCTGGAAGAGGCCCTAGCGGCCTGAGGACTGGACATAACTGAGGAGTGAAAGGCAGGTGGAACGGGGAACAGGCCAAGGGGCTGACTTCTTCTGCTCCTCTTCCCAGGGCCCTATGGGCAGCCTGCACTGGGCCAGCGCCCCTTTGGTGAGTAGGGGTCTGCCAGATCCCGGGGTGAAAGTGGGTAGGCAAGCAGGGTGTGGTAGTACACACCTGTAATCTTAGCACTGAGAAGGCTGAGGCAGGAGGATCATTGAGATTTGGAGTTCAGCCTGGGGAATTCAAGGCCAACCTAAAGTACATAGCAAGACCCTGTGTCAAAAAAAGAAAGAAAGAGATAAAAAAGTGAATGGGCTGAAATACTCTGCTGATCTCAACTGTCTCTGGTCTGTCTGTCTTAGGGAGCTCTGAAATAAAGAGAGGCAGCAATGGCCAGTTGAAAGCCAGTTATGGAGGTGAGAGTGAGCCACAGCAGCCCACCTGCCCTATACTAAAGGGTCACCCTTCTAGCTGTGGGTGCCCATCGTCCTTGAGTGGGAAAGCAGCTTCTCAGTACCTTGCAGGGGTCTCCTGAGGGATGGGGGCAGTTCAGAACCAGGGAGATGAAGAGGGCCCAACCCTAGTCCCAGGTCTGCCTCTTCCCAGGCCGCTGCCCCCTTGGGAAATGCTGAGAACCTGAGCTGGCCCCTAAAAGCCACAAAACAGCATCTCTTCCAAAGAAGGCAGGACCTTGGGGCTCTGATGCTGCCAGCCTGGAGTCTCCTCAGGGCTAAAGTATTAATAAATGCAATGTGCTTTCATTTGCCTCTGTGTACCACTGTGGTGAGGGGGGCAGGGGTTTTGGCAACCACTATCCAGCACCTCATTCATTTATTCACTCAACAAGAACCATTGTGGTTGTGTGCCAGGAGCCATGCTCTGGATGGGTAATATCATGAGAACAAAACAGACACCAGTGAGGAACCCATATCTTGTGTATGGAAAAAAATATTTCTTTTTTTTTTTACGGGTACCAGGGATTGAACTCATGACCATGCGCTTGCAAGGCAGGTGCTTATGCCACTGAGCTAAATCCCCAGCCCCAAGAAAAAAATATTACATAATTTGTGGTTTACTTTATAACAAATTTATTAAAGGTTTTTATTTGGTTTGGGATTTTTTGGCTTGTTTTTTTGAAACAGGTCCTTGGGGTTGGGGATTTAGCTCAGCAGGCATTAAGTGCCTGCTTTGCAAGCACACAGTCCTGAGTTCGATCACAAAGTAACGATTTACAAAACGATTTACAAACGATATACAAAAAAAAAAAAAAAAAGAAAAGAAAAGAAAAGAAACAGGTTCTTATTGTGCATCAGAGGCTGACTTCCAATTTGAAGTGATTACAGGCATATACTACCATGACTAGCCCTTATTAAAGTTATTGAACAAAGATCTCGTTTTTTGTTGGATGTGGTGGTGCACTCCTGTAATCCCAGCACTTGGAAGGCTGAGGTAGGAGGATCAGGATCATTGCAAATTCAAGACCTGGGCTACAAAGTGAGCCCAAGGCTGGCCTGAACCACATAGTGAGATCCTGTCTCAAAAGACAAAAAAAAAAAAAAAAAAAAAAAAAAAAAAATCTCGTTTTCCTTAAGCCTTATAGTTGTCATCAGACATCATTCTATTGACCAATAATTTGAGTATAAAACTCACTTTTACATTATTTTATTGACATACAATTAAATTACACATTTTACAGCTCTTCTTTCTTTCTGTCTTTTTTTTTTCCCCCTGGGTAGAGGTGAACTCAGGAAACACTAACCTACATCCTCAGCCTTAAATTTTTATTTTTTAGACATGGTCTTCCTAAATTTCTCAGGCTGGCCTCAAACCAGAAGCCCTTCTGTTTGTTTGTTTTTGGAGACAGGGTCTCCAGTAATTCAGACTGGCCTTGAACTCTTGGCAGTCTTCCTGCCTCAGCTTCCCAATTGCTGGGGTTACTGGCACACACCACCACACTCAGTTTAACCTCTTAGTAGTCCAATTAATTAAATACAGCATGATCAAAAATTTTGTATACCTTTTCATTAATTTTATAAGATAGTATTGCAGAAAATATAAAAATGACAATTTTATAAAATTTGTCAAATACTTTTTCTGTGTATGGTATATCTTAAAACATTTAAAACACGGGGCTGGGGATTTAGCTCAGTGGCATAAGCACCTGCCTTGCAAGCAGGCAGTCGTGAGTTCGGTCCCCGGTACCGATAAAAAAAACGAAAAAGACAAAAAAACAAAACAAAACAAAAAAAAAACATTTAAAACACTATACAATGTTGCAATTTGTAGCCCAGGCTGGTCTCAAACGCAATAGCCTCAGCCTCCTGCCTCAGCCTCCTCCTGCCTCAGCCTCCTGAGTGCTGGGCTTACAGGTATGAGCCACCATGGCCGTCTACAATGTTGCAATTTGGACAGTAGTATCCAGTCCCTTTCTGAATTCTTTTGGCATTATTGTCCTTGTTTGAATAACACATTTCACACTGTAGTGTTGCCCTTTTTTTCTGTGGGTGGTATAATTTCAATAAAATGCTACCCAGTAAATGTAATGATAAAGACATTGTCGATAGACATCCTAGTTGGCATTTTGCTATCCCATATTTTTCAGTTATTTGGTCTATTAGATTTAATATAAATTTTAGATGAGTTTTTGAGCCCTCTTGCTTTGAATACAGAACAAATGAGTTCCATATATTTTTTTTTTCTTTTTGGTACCAGGGATTGAACTCACAACCTAGTGCTTGCAAGGCAGGCACTTATACTGCAGAGCTAAATTCCCTGCACTGAGTTCCATATTGTTTGGTCCAGAAAGTGCATAAAGACATTATAATAATATTTTTTTTCCTCTTTTTTTTTTTTTTTTTGGTACTGGGACTAGAACTCAGGACTTTGTGCTTACCAGACAGGTGTTACGCTGCTGAGCTACATCCCTGGTCCTTTTCTTCACTTTTTGATTACAGGATAGCTTGTTAGATGTTAATCGACTCTGTCAACACCATCCTCAGAATGATTATAATCATTGACCACTATTGGAATTACTTTAATTTCATTTTTCCTTTCAAATTCTTTTTTTTTTTTTTTTTGGTCTTTTTTGTTTTTATCGGTACCAGGGATCGAACTCAGGACTGCCTGCTTGCAAGGCAGGCGCTTATACTGCTGAGCTAAATCCCTAGCCCCTTTCCTTTCAAATTCTACCATTTCTGTATTATGAATACGCAGATGTCTTTTTTGTCTATGTTTTATAACACAGATTTTTCCTCTGATATGCTAACATTTCTCCTTTTTTCAGTTTTTTTCTTTTATAGATCTCTTGGCACTTCCTATTCAGTTGCAGTGCCCCAAATGTGTCCATTTTGTATTATAAAAGAATATGACTGAGCTCCAAGGAAATATGAAAGTTATATCTAATGTACTTTTTTTTTTTTGGTACCAGGGATTGAACTCACAACCTCATGTTTGCCAAGCAGGCACTTACGCCACTAACCTAAACCCCTAGCCCACTTCATTACTTCTTGTTGTGACTACAGGTGCAGAATCCCATGCCTCTCCTGGGGAAGGTCCAGAATGGAGAGTGTGCAATTGGGATCATGCTAAATTCTGAACTCTGACTCAGAACCTAGCCAGTCCCAAGACGAGTCTCTGAGCCTGTAGGTTCTGAGACAAACTCTTCCACCCCGCACCTCTTCTTGTATCCTGGGGAGATTTTCCCGGTGAATGGAGCTGATTTGGTTTGGCATGCCTAAGAGACAAGCAGCTAATTTTTCTGTAACCTGACTTATGTACACCACAGTTTACTCCACATGTCTATAGGAGGTGCATTCTTGCCTGACTATACTATAGTGAAATACAGACTTCACATCCAGCTTCAAGAAATCCAGAGTAGCTAGTATATGCAACAAAACATCGGTTGTATTGTTACAGGAGCAGGTGGGTTATGACACTGGTTCTTTGGCACACAGCTTCCCTAAAAAGAGCAAGTAGTATTTTTTAATATAAGAAAAGAAAAAAGGAAAGATGTTGGGGATTTAGCTCGTGGCATAAAGGCCTGCCTGGCAAGCCCTAGGTCATGAGTTCAATCCGTGGTACAAAAAAAAAAAAAAAAAAAAAAAAAAAAGAAAGAAAGAAAGAAAGAAAAGAAAAATCAAGTTTTCAAATTCCATCAACATTTCAATCAACTAGTTGTTCATCAAATAAAACGTGAGGAAGGATGCTTGGTCCTTCGAAGAGAGAGGGAGACTAGCACTTTACCACTAAGCTATATTCCTGGTCTGTTGTTAACAATATTAGAAAAGTTCTAATATTGTTCTAATAACAATTTCTGTATTTATTGTATGTGAGTGTATGTGCAGTACTGGGTGTCTACCACTGAGCTACACTCCCTGTTTTTGTTTTTTTTTTTTTTTATTTCAAAACAGTGACACCACACTCAGCCTCTATATCACAAATTTAAATAAACTGTCATTTCCCCGCAGGCTAGGTTATCAGTATTTCCCCTCCATCCGTCATTTACAGCAGCACCATAATATGAATGCTGCACACTGTCACCAAACTTGTCTCTGAATTTTGATCTCTTTTCCTATAAGTGAGTGAGCTGGAATATCAGTTATTTAGAAGGCAGGAGAATTGCTACACCAGTCTAGGCAATTTAACAAGACTGTCACAAAAGAGAGAGAGAGAGAGAGAGAGAGAGAGAGAGAGAGAGAGAGAGAGAGAGAGAGAAAGAGCCTGGAGATGTAGCTCATTGATAGAGCCTTTGTAGCTCCAGGCCCTGGGTTCAGTCCTTAATAATGCGAAGGAGAGTGAAAATCTGCATAGACTTTCATCCCCTTACTGCTCCCTGGGAGCAACAGCCCAGAGCACTTTGAGCGCGGCGAGGAAGAGCAGTAGGGGGACTGCTGTGGCAGGTAAAGGATCAGGCCAGGTGGGGGCGCCCACTGTGCGTGTGCCGCGCAGCGTTTCTCGAAAGGGGGTGACTGTGCACCGCGGACACTGCGATTGGTTGGGAGCGGAGGGGTTTGCAGGAAGAATTTAATAGCGCGCTGAAGTCTCTGAGAGGCTCTCGTGTGCCTCCTGCCAGCCGGCGACAGCGGCGCCGTGGCCGCAAGCGCACCGGCATTTGATTGGCTGGCGCGTGTCATCGGGCGCCTCCGATTGGTTGGCTCGGAGAGGCGCTGCGCTTGGCCCAGTGGGGAGATCTAGAGGTACCGGCGACGGTGTGGGCAAGCTGGCGGTCCGCCTGCCCCGGTCCCGCTCGCACCCGCGGCTGGGCCGCGCTCGTGCCCACCCGCGGCTGAGCCGCGCCCGTGCGTCGCTACCCGCATCGCCCCTGCCGCACCCTCCGCTGCCTGGCTTGCCTCCAGGCCTGAGCTGCGGGCCGTCGCCGCCGCCGCCGTCCGCCCTCGCCCGCGCCGAGCTTCCGCCGCTGCCCGCGCTCCCGCTGCGGCCCGAGCCGTTGGCGCCTTGGGGCCCCGGCGCCCATCTGGCGTTGCCCGAACTGCCGCCAGAGGCCTGCGCGCCCCCGCCACCCGTCGCCGCGCTCGCCCTGCAGCACCTGCCGCGCCTGCCCGCACCCGCTCCACTGCCCGCGCACCCACCGCTGCCCCCACTGCCTGAGACTGCCGTCGCCGCCGTGCCCGGGCCCGTGGGCGCGCGTGGCCGCCCGGCCCTGCGGGGAGAGGCGCCCCCACCGCCGCTGCCGCCGCTGCCCTCTCGGCCCTCGCCTTTTGGCCTGCTGGGGCCCCCGGCGCCCTACGACCCCTGGCCACTGCCTGTCTTCCACCCTCCGTCACCACCGCCCCCGTTGCCTTCCTTCTTCCTGACCCCTCCCTACTGACCTCCGGGGGTCTCTGGCTGCCGGGGCTGCGCCCAGGTGAGTAGAAAAAACCCTTGCTGGGACGTGGGTGGGTCACAGGCACAAGGAGGAGACTCAGAGAAGAGCATGAGTGGAGGAACAGTCCAGATCTGGCGGGGTGTCAACCTTACAATAGAGTAGATCTAGAATTAGGGGCTTTTAGCTGAAGTGTTGGCCAATGCCTGTAATTCCAGGGCCCAGAGAGGCTGAAGGGTGAGGACCTCAAATTCAATCCCAGCTTGGGCCAATTAGTGATGTAACATGACTCTGACTGAAAACAAAAGGGCTGAAGATGTACCTCAGTGGGAATATTCTGAGTTCAGTTCCCAGTACTGCACACACACTCTCAGACCATCTTTTACACAAAATAAGGACTTTCTTCCATATGCCCCTCCTGCCTGGTGGCCTCTTGCTAGGTTATTTGAGAATGTAACTCATCCTCATGCTGATAAACTGATTGGTAGTCAGGGAACCAGGTTGTCTTAAAGGCATATGGAGAAGGAAACAGGAAGAAAACAAGTGTTTAAAATGCTTTAACTAGTGACCAGAATGTCACGTTTTCTCCTATAAAGGGTCTGGATTTCATGGCTAAGGAGATGATCCTCCCCCACCCCCATCTTGTTTCTTTCTTTCTTTCTTTTTTTTTTTTTTTTTTTTTTTTTGACACAGGGTCTCACTAGCTCAGGCTGGCCTGGAACTTGCTGCACTCCTGTCATAGCCTCCCAAGTACTGGGATTTCAAGTGTGTGCCACCACACACGGCTTTTTTCTTTTTTTATGGCACTGGAAATCCAACCCACTGCCTCTTGCACACTAGTCAAGTGCTTTGCCACTGAGCTACACCCCAGCCCAGCCTTTCCAAAGCTTAATGAGTCAAAATTTCAACTGAAATAAGATACAGTGGTACTGCTGGCCATGGGATGGTGTACAATAGATACTGGGCTTGAGGGACATGCAATGACTGCAAAGTCATCCTGAGGGACAAGAGAGCCCCATGCTAAGTCCTGAACAGAAACTCAAGTTCTCTCCCCAGCCTGCTACCCTCCCACTCCCCCACCCTGTAGGTTTCTGTGCAGCCAGTACAACTCAATAAAGTTCTTTGTTCCACAGGTGGCCAGGCTCAGGTAACCAGGCAGATGGCCCATCTCCATGGTCTTTTCTACAGTATTTCAGGAGTATCAGGAAGCCAACCCTGACCTTGAAGGACCTCTGAGAGCTCAGGACCCACCAGCAAGAAAGGATAATATATTAATGTCCTCTGACTGCTGTAAATCACAAACTGAATGGTTGAAGGCAATAGAAATTTGTTTTGTCACAGTTTCGGAGGCCAGAAATCCAAAATGAAGGCATCGGTAGGGCATCAGTCCTTCTGTAGGATGAGGGAAGGATCCTTTCTTTCTCTCTCAAGCTTCTGACTGCTCCAGGCCTTTCTTGGCTTGTGACTACAATACTCCAATCTCTGGCTTCTTCACAGGCTTCTCCGTGGTACCTGCCTCACAACTCCAATTTTTCTTTTCTTAAGCAAGCCCTTGGCCACTGACTTTCACCCCCAACCCTTTATTTGTTTATTTTTTATGAGGTAGGATTTCACTAAGTTACCCTGACTTCCTCAAAGTTGTCAGCTTCCTGCCCCAGCTGGATTCGAGCAATGCACCACCATACCTGCCTCTTTTGGTTTTTTTTTGTTTTTTGTGGGGTTTTTTTTTTTGGCTTTTTCGTTTTTATCGGTACCGGGATCAAACTCACGACTGCCTGCTTGCAAGGCAGGCGCTTATGCCGCTGAGCTAAATCCCCAGCCCTCATACCTGCCTCTTTTTCTCTTACAAGAATTATAAGCAGCTAAGTTAGATAGAAATGTAGGCAGTTAGACAGGGCTAGGTCCTTGAATCAGTGGAGAAGATGAGAACACATTACAGCTGTGGCTGGAGGCACATCATAAAAGGCTAGGCCTCATGATAAAACGGAATGACCAGGCCTACATGCCTCCCCAAGGGATAAGCAATAAATTATAAAGATTATACTATAATTGACCTTACCTGATCCAATAAAGGCTAGCTAGACATCAGTCACCAAGGTGGGTAACCAGGATCACCTTGATCCATCCCTTCCTAAAATATCTTTGTTCTTTCTATGTGTACTTGCTATGTGACCTACTTTCCCATTAGATCAATATTACCTAAGTGGCTATACTTATAATCTTACTGATTAATCATAGTTTGATCCATTTATTCCCACTCGTGATTTTGCTCTATAAAACTTCCTCTGAGAAGTGGGGTCCATGGCAACTCACTTTCAGGTCCCCTTCTGGCTCTCAGGAGCTATCTCTCTCACACAATAAATTTTTCCTATTCTTTTCTACTGTTTCTTAGAATTCATTTTTTTGTTCTTTGGAACACATGTATCTAACATCTAGCAGGTCATTCTATTACTTCCCCTATATCACAAGGACAACCGTCATTGGTTGTAGAGCCCGTCAACCCAAATTGATCACATCTTGAGTTCCTTCATTTAATAGCTTTCGTGAAGAGCCCTTTATCAGATAAGGCCCCAGGTTCCACTTACCATTTATGAGACCATCACCTGATCCATATAGTGTCCTCTATCCTGTGAGGCTGACTCACCTCCCTTCCTGTCTTCCCAGAATGTTGTGTTCTAGTCCCTATCCGAAACCTGGGGAATTGGATGACCCTGGAGCCCTTGGGCAGGAGCTGATAAACACTAGACTTTAATAAAGCTCTTAATGGCACAGGAAGGGACTGTCTTTCCCCTTTCCTGAAGGATGACTGAAGTTCCGGCCTGTTGGTTTGCTGCTTCCCCACCTTCCTGTTGCAGTCTGCTAAGAAGTGAAGAGTAAACAAGGAGGACAATGAATGAGTCCTTTTAGGACAATACTAATCAGGAGGCCCCACCTTCAGAATTTGGGACAGGAAGCCGCTGCTGTTTGAAAGCTGATGATCACAGTTGATAATAAAGTTAATTGTTACCCAGTCAGTAGTGTCTGTTGTGGTTTACAAGTGAAACTTCTCATGCTCTTGACAAAATGGTGATCCCCAAAGTGTGAATGTATGCCCCAGAAAGTACAAGGGACAGCCCTGGAGGTAGGTCACAGGCCCAGAGACACCTGTGGTTGGGCAGTTGTGACTTGCCCAGGGAGGTCCTGAGGTGGGAGTCCAGCCGGAAGCCTCAAGGGCAAAGGGCACCAGACACCCAGATGTGAGAGTGAAGGAGAGGTAATCAGATCCTGAGAGCTTCCCTCCAAGGAATGGCAGCTCCAGAGGAATGGGTGGTTCAGAAAGGTGCACTAGGGGAGAAGCTCAGCCTTGCTGCCTGTGGAAATAGGGTTCCTGACAAACCAGGAGGGGACCCAGTTGGAAGTCAGGGTTTGGACTCTAGCAGGTTGGATGTCTTTGTGTATGCTTGGTCAAGCTCCCTTAGTGCTGTGATAGAGGCCATGAGCTCTTAAGCATAAGGCCTTTAGATCTCACCTGCACTTTCGGCAGGCTGGGGAGCCTGGGGCCAGCTTCCTTTGTGAAATTGGCCCTTGGGCTCCTCTGGGGGTAAGGGGTGCTGCCTCCCTCAGGGATCTAGTTGTGTGCCCCTATATCATACAATAGTTACCCCTCCCCATTCACTAAACCACACCTTTCCTGTCTAAATGGAGTGAGGTAACTTCCACACCTCTTACCTGAGCCTCCTAGCCCTCCACTCTCCAAGAGGGGACAAAGTCATTTTGTCCTTTTCCATATAGACTAAGATAATGCCGTCATGCACCTCCCCTGCCATTTCCTCTTAGGGTAGTATTTCCAGGAGGGTTTCCTTCCCCCACCTCTTTCCCTACCTAGGGGATGGAGGTGGAGATTCCCAAGGACTTGTTAAAGTGCCATCGAGGTGATAACCACGCCAAGCTGGCCCCACCTCTATATCAATAACATTCCAGTCCCTTTCCTTCCCCTTAGGTCTCAATTTTAACCCTTTGATATCCAAGATCCAAGTTCAGGTGGACCAGGGGAATCTTGCAGAAAGTCTGGGGCCTCCCAGCATGAGGCATTTTTTCTTTTCAGTTTTGCCCCAGGTCTCAGCAACTGTTGCTTTGTTTTATCAGAGAGGAAGAAGCCAAGAGAGGTGGCACCCATCTGTAACCTCAGTGCTCTGGAAGGCTGAGGCAGGAGGATTGAAATTTAGTGGTTTAAGGACACCGTTTCTCAAAATTTTAAAAAAGGGCCAGGGATGTAGTTCAGTATAAAGGCCCTGCATCCAATCCTCAGTACACCCATCCCTCCCCATCCTGTCCTGAGAAAAAGGAAATGTAGGAGATGCTTGTGCCACAGGAGAGCAAGTTCAGTAAGGTCACGACCACCTGCTTGCAAGGAAGGTGCTTATACCGCTAAGCTAAATCTCTAGCCCTTTTTTTTTTTTTTGTCTTTTTGAGACAGGGTCTCACTATGCAGTTCAGGCTGGCCTTGAGCTCACTTTGTAGCCCAGACTGGTCTTAAACTTGCAACAATCCTCCTGCCTCAGCCTCCGAGTGCTGGGATTACAGGAGTGAGCCACCACGCCGGGCCAGTAGGGATTTCTCACAAGGAGGCACACATGTCTTCTGGGTCCCCATCTCACTTGTGGCTGGCTGGTCCCTGGCATTGTACATGCTTTGCTTCATTGCAGAGGGGTTGGAGTGTGTACAGCCTCCCTACCTGCTGGGGAAACTAGAGAGCATTGAGGCAAAAACTGAATACAGGCTGGCCAACTGTCTGGCTCACTACTCAAAACTGAGAATGTCCAGATCAACTGGTGTGTGTTGAGGAAAGAGGAGGGCTTGGGCTGGGTCCAGGGAAGAGAAAAGGCCTTGGGCTGGGGCCCCCTTGGTAGGGAGGTGTTGGGGCCCTTTCAGAGACCCAGGTTTGTGCTGCCAACTGACACCTGCCCAAACCTGTGTGGCTGGATTCCTGGAATCCCCTGGAAGGCAACAGAGGTAGCCCCCTTAAAGGACTGGTTCTATTTGCTCTTCTTTGCAGTCATCTCCTTGCCCCTACCAGGTAAAATCTAAACCACAGGGACATTGATTTGGACACCACTGGGAGGCTAAACTGGCCACTGGTCTGGCTACAATTGTCAACCCCCATCTCCATCCTGCCACTGTGGAGAAGGTACCTTCACTCCTCTGGCCTCAGTGGGGCCACCAGACCAGCCTTCCTCTGGGAAAAGCCTCTCCCTGTGAGTAGGTGGAGAATGTATGATTCAGCCTATTTTGGAGATCAGCTCAGTGGTTGATGCTGGCTTCAGTGCTGACTTTTTTTCCCTCAGCAGTTGGCTTGGAACATAGGGCTTTTGCCCTGAGCTATATCCCCAGTCTTTTTTTTGTAGCAGGAATTGAACTCATGACCTGCCAGGTAGGTGCTATGTTAATGAGCTATATATCCCTCGACCCAAGATTGTCAAGCTTTGTGGGGTCATAGACCACTTTGCCAATCTGAGGAAAACATAAGCATGTCTTCCAAAAATACTAAAACCTTGGAGGTTGGGGATTTAGCTCAGTGGCATAAGCACCGGCCTTGCAAGCAGGCAGTTGTGAGTTTGATCCCTGGTACCGATAAAAAGACAAAAAAAAAAAAAAAAAAAACTAAAACCTTTACGCAAAAGTAATACTTGAACTCCTGAATTTCAATTCCAAGCAATTCTTTTTTTCTTTTGCACTGCTAGGGATGGAACCCCAGGGACTCTGTACTGAGCTACTTACCTACCTCTTTTTTTATGTATATTTGTGTGTGTGTGTGTGTGTGTGTGTGTGTGTGTGTGTGTGTGTTGTGTAAGAACCAGTGCAGGCATGCAGGGTCCCGCTATGTACCCCAGGCTGGCCTTGAACACCTGGGGATCATCCTGCTTTTGCCTCTCACGTGTTTTGATTATAGGCATGAAGTACCATGCCCAGGTTTATATTTTTATTTTTTGAAACATAATCTTGCTTAGTCATTAAATTTCTCAGACTGCTGGGGCATAGTAGAATACACCTATATGGATAGTCACCTAGAGTTCAAGGCCAGCCTGGGTTACATGGTGATTTCAAGGGTAGCCTGAACTACATAGTAGGACCTTGTCTCAATCAATTTATTTCCCAAATTTGCAATCCTCCTGCCTCAGCTTCCCAGAGTTCTGGGTTTAAAAACGTGTACCATCTCACCTGCCTCAATTCTGAATAATTCTTGAAGTTTGAACTCTTTATAATAAAATCACACAGAACACCAAGTAGGGATGTACCTAATGTCTCCCTAGTCAGGGGGGCATCTCCCATCTCTGTCCCCACTGGGCATCTGGTACCAGGGTGGGCTCCAGTTTCACACTCAGCACTCCCTTCCTTAGAGAAGATGTGGAGGTAAGAGGCTATCCCATTCGGGCCCACTCTAGCTAGCCTCCTGATACCCCCTGGAAAGTATGTGAACGGGAAGGATTTTCCTCAGTGTCCCCAGGAATTCTTAACCCCCAGAGAAGGACTGGGGAGGTGTGAACCTCCCAGAATGAGGGGCACATGTGTTGTGGGAGTGTGTTCCTGTGGAGAATGTAGGTCCCATTTCTCAAGTGGGTCTTTGATCCAAGAGGATTAAGGAATTTAACCTTGCATGATCTGTGCCAGTCCCAGGTTCTCACTATGAAGGGAGTCCCAGGTTCTGAGGGGGCTCTTGCTCTCAGCCTCACTCCCTGCCCTCTTCTGTAGTGTTGGCCTGGATGGCCTGAGAGGCCACTCCAGCAACCATGGGGGAGAACGGATTTCGAGGCCCCTGCCCTGGAATCACTTCCCCCACTGTTTGTTTTTCTTGCTCTGGCCTCAGTGCAGCCCTCCACCTCAACAACAGGCCCTTTATCCACAAGCCTCTAGAGACTTTCAGCAGTTCTGCCTGCTTAGCCCCCAAGTTTCAGCAGCAGGGGGTGGGGCAGGCAAACCTGAGCTGAGGTAGAAGTGGGGGTAGTTTTCTAGGCCGTTGCCAAGGTGATGCCACCTGAGTTGGGCCCAGGCACCCGTTGCCTGGGGAACTGTGCAGGCAGGGCCCCTCCCCTGGGAGCCACCTGGGATACCGGGCTGAGCCAGGAGACAGATCAGATTCCAGAGAGTGCTGGGAGGTGAAAAGAGGGGTGGTCGATACTGTGGGAGACAGGGCACATTTGCATCATGAAATGGGAGAGGGGGATGGTGGAGGCCAGTGAAGGGTCAGTCTCTAAACCCTCTGTCTACCCTATCGCCCACCAGTTTACCCGCAGCCACACACAAACCATCTGGTCCTCAGTCTTTCCATTTCTTTGTCCCTGGGTTCCCATATGCAGTGTTTGTCCTTCCTGTCTGCAGTCAATACCACCCACCACTGACCACCCCCCCTTCCACCTTCTCCCACCTCCCCACCCCTCTTGCTGTGGCCCAATCCTGGCCTTCTAGGCTTGCTCTGCTCCTCCCCTGCCTGGGCCTTAAAAACCCCCGCCTGCAGCTACAGCCTGCAGAGGCCCCAGGTGACACTGCAGAAGGTTTACTGCTCTGAGGTTTCACTGCAGCACCAGCTAGGAGAGAACAGGACTCTGCAGATCTGGAGGAACATTTTGAGCTGTGCCCAGATGTGACTGCAGGGTGTTCCAAGGGTGAGTCTCCTACAGACACATCACTCAGCTGAACAGGACCAAGAAACAGATTTGTGGTGTGTGAACAGCCGACACCAACCTGAGAGAGGCCCACACTTGTGAAGACTGCTCTGGTCAGAGGACAACACATACCATTCCTCCTGGGCACCAAGATCCATATCCAACATATCTGACCCCTGCTGAGCTGACCCAGCTGCCTGGGCTGAGAAGACTGAACTGAAGGGTAGATGGCTTCAACTGGCCTTGAACTCCTGGGCATGACCCTGGCTGTGCTGGGCTGGCTGGGAACCCTGGTATCCTGTGCCCTGCCTCTGTGGAAGGTGACTGCTTTTATCGGCAACAGCATCGTGGTGGCCCAGGTGGTGTGGGAAGGGCTATGGATGTCTTGTGTGGTGCAGAGCACTGGCCAGATGCAGTGCAAGGTGTATGACTCTCTGCTGGCACTGCCCCAAGACCTACAGGCTGCCCGAGCACTCTGCGTCATAGCCCTCCTCCTGGCACTGCTTGGCCTGCTGGTGGCCATCACAGGCGCCCAGTGCACCACATGTGTGGAAGATGAGGGTGCCAAGGCCCGAATTGTGCTCACTGCAGGGGTCCTCCTTCTCCTTTCAGGCATCTTGGTGCTCATCCCTGTCTGCTGGACAGCCCATGGCATCATCCAGGACTTCTACAACCCACTGGTAGCTGAGGCCCTCAAGCGGGAGCTGGGGGCTTCCCTCTATCTGGGCTGGGCAGCTGCTGCACTACTCATGCTGGGTGGAGGGCTCCTCTGCTGCACATGTCCCCCACCGCAGATTGAGCGGCCCCGTGGCCCCAGACTGGGCTATTCCATCCCCTCCCGATCTGGTGCATCTGGGCTGGACAAGAGGGACTATGTATGAAACGGGACTTCTCAGGAGCCATCATCTGAGCTTTGTCTTCTACCATTGTGCCCCTTATCCCCCAGGAAATCCATTTTTGTAAAGCTCAAATAACCTGGCTCCAGGAGCAGTCTCAGCTGGTCTGGCTGAGCCAACCCTCAGTGGTCCCCACTTCATAGAAACTGGGCTAACCTCCCCTCCACCTTATCTGTGGGATTAGTTTTTTCTGTTGTCCAGGACATGTGAGCCTTCCCCTACCCCAAGAGCCTGGGGTCCACTGAAAGGATTGCAGCTCCTTGCCTCCAAAATAAGGAGCCAAACCTGTCCCGGAGGTAGTGCACTCTGGCTCAGCCAATACTGGTATCTTAAGACACCTGGGGCCAGGCCCTTTGGGAGTAGGTAGCCCACATTTCCTACCTTCCGTAATCAGAATAAAAAGAGTACTTATACTTGGGCTTCCTTTGTGTGTTTTGTGTTGAGACAGGGTTTCACTATATAGTTTAAGTTGGTCTTAAACTCACTATGTAGCCCTAGTTAGCGTACAACTTGCAGCACTCCTCCTGCTTCTGTCTCCACAGTATTGGGATTACAGACAGGTGCCCACCACCTTGCCCGAGCTTCCTGTCTTATGCTGAAGATTTCAAGCAGCCAGGCCATTGCCTGGTTCCTATTTCAGGGCAGCTTCATTAGGCCATGGGGCCTGAACCAGGAGGGAACAGAGACAAGGGATCATGATGGACTTGCACACACATTCTCTAGCCAGGCTGGGCACTGATCAGGCCCTAGCAACAGCAAAGACCTATTAACAAAAGAAATTTTATTGTATGAGCAGAGCATAGGCAGAAGTGTACATGATTGGAGATCCTCGTGGGGGTCTACAGAATAGCCAGGGCCTGACCACAGGAGGGTACATGGTGGCTGGATATAGGAGTCAGAAGTTAGAAGACTTGGGGAGGGCAGTTTTCTGGTAACTCAATCATCAGCCCCTTCCTGGAATGGGTCTGACTGACCCCACCCCTCAGTAGCGGCCAAAACTCTTGGTATAAAGGCCATCTTGTGGTTATAAAGCCCAGAGTAGCAACAACCTTCGCATGGGTTCCATAGCTCCAATTTGGCTTCCAAGATGGTTATGCTATGAATGAAAAAATATTCAGAATTGCTTCTTTGGTTCCACTATTCAAAGATAAAGAATACCAATGTCAGAGCCCAGGTGAAAATGTGAGTCTTCTTTGTTCCACTATCAAATGGATTTAAATGACCCCCCCCAAAAAAAAACAACAAAAAATAAAAGCAAGGTAAGCACCAACCCCAAAGATATCAGGTGTTACCATCTCAGCTCGGGCCAAGACCAATGGAGCCCTCAGCCTCTATCTGCATCAAACATAATTCTTGGTGGGATACTCAGAGGGCCCCCGAGAAGTGGGATGTGGGGCAGATGCTGTGTAGTGAGCAATGTAATGGCTGGAGCCCCGAGACCCTCCAGAGGGGCAGGTGTAGCATAGCAACCCCCCACCCAGAAGCAAAAGGCCTGAAGCAGCCCAGCCCAGGTAGAGGGAGGCTCCCAGCTCCCGCTTTTGGGCCTCAGCCACTAAGGGATTGTAGAAGTCCTGGATGATAGTGTGGGCTGTCCAGCAGACAGGGATCAGAGTCAGGATCCCTGAGATGACAAAGATGATCCCAGACGCAAGCACCAGGCGGGCCTTAGAATCCTTGTCCTCTACACAGGTGGTACACTTGGCCCCCGCAAGGTAGATCAGCAGACCAAGCAAGGCCACAAGCAGGGAGATGACATAGAGGGCTCTCGCAGCTTGCAGGTCCTGGGGCAGTGCCAGTAGAGAGTCATACACCTTGCACTGCATCTGGCCAGTGCTCTGCACCACACAAGACATCCATAGCCCTTCCCACACCACCTGGGCCACCACAATGCTGTTGCCAATAAAAGCAGTCACTTTCCACATTGGCAGGGTGCAGGATACCAGAGCTTTCATCCAGCCCAGCAATGTCAGGACAAGCCCCAGTATTTGCAGACCAGCAGAAGCCATGGCAAAGCTGATGAGGCTGTATTGCGTGTGAGGACAGAAGCAGAAAAACATTAGAGTGAACTGATCTAGACCCTGGACCATGAATCATGTGACTCCACACAGGTGACCAATAGCACATACCCCAGGAGTTGGTCACTATATCCTGTAATGGGGGTAGCATATACTACCTGAACCTCATTTTCTCATATGCAAAATAAGTACTTAATGCTTCCCTAATCACGTGACAGCTTCTGGTTTAGGTCACTGAATAAGCAGATAATCCTGGCTGTTTTGAGTGCAAACCACAGGCAAGAGGATAAAGCACACCCATGGTCTTGCCACTTTGTGGAATACACTTTATCATGCAACGAAGTGCCAAAAAGGGAATGGAAAGACTGCAGTTTCCACGTGGCCTGGCTTTAGTATGTTTCAGGCTCAAAAGCTCATTCTCAGGACTGAGGGTATAGTTCAGACACTTGTCTAGCATCCTATAAATTCCAGGTTTCAATCTCTAGCATGGCTACCCCCTCAAAAAAAAAAAAAAAAAAAAAAAAAAGCAAAACAGACAAACAAAAAACCCTTTTTCCACTACCCAAGGTCCAAATACCCTGAACCAATTTGTTTGTATCAGGCTGACAGTATCTTCAACTTATGTCCCAAGCCACTCTACAAAAGCTGTCTCCTCAAGAGAGACTAGAGAGAGAGGCAAAGAAAAACTCTCATTCAGAAGCCTGCTGACTCCCTAGTTCATTCTTCTGCATTGCTTCGGTGCCATGGTGCACACTTGTCCTTGTTCGGGGTCATTTTTCTGTTTTAGATCAAAGGCCATGCTAGGGTCCTCTCAGGACACAGCTTTTCTGGACAGATGGACAGATAGGGGATCTGTCCAGTCCTCCATCATCGTTCTGGCTACATCTGCCCTTCAAGGTCCACTTTGAATTGGGCGTGCCACAAGGACCAGAGCCGACCCTGCTCAAGGCCTGCTGTGGCTCCCCATTACACAAAGTTCTGCACACACCCATTACACACCACTTGGACCCAACTGTAGCTCCCTTCCCAGTAGTGCAGCCAGGGAGGCAGGAGGCCTAGCTCAAGACCTCCACGGAGATTCCCGTTTGAGAGCGGCCCTGCCCTGGCCTCCTTCCCTTTTACACCTTGAGGTTTCAGAGCTCAAGACCTCCGCAGAGATCCCGTCTGAAGGAAACCCTACCCTAGCCTCCCTCCCTTTCCACACACTGAGGGGTTGGTCACCTCAGCCTGGAACAGCCGGGTGGGTCCGCTTCCGAAGGTGAAGGGGAGGGGAGCCCCGCCCCAGAGAGGCAAGGCAGGTAGACGAGGAGCGTACAAAGTTTTGGAGTCTTTGTTCAGGGAAGGGAAGGGGGAGGGGCATTTAAGACTTGAAGAGCTGCGGAAGGACCAGGTCCTCTCTCGGGTTCAGTGGCCCAGCCCGACTCAGCTGGCTGCCTCCAGGAGCGCCGCTCAGCTTCTCCATGGAGGCCTCCACCCACACCCAAGATCCCTACATCCGACCCTGCGAAGAGCTTTTCTGACCCCCAAATCGCACACTTGCTGGAGACTCACCTGAAGAAGGGACCAAAGGGAGTCACAGCCAAGTGAGAGGAGAGGAGTAGAGGCGGGGGTCTTAAAGGAGCACTGACGTCACTGTCCCACCTCTCCCGGGGAGGGGCAGAGACCCCGGCCCCGATGGCAGGGGCGTGCGCGTCCCAGCTTGGTTATGGCAGTGGGGGCGCTGCTGCACCTGTCGCACGCTGAGCAGCGCGCACCTCGGACTGGCTACGTTCCAGACCGCCACTTACGAACTAGCTTTGTTTGTTTTTGGTACTGGAGATGGAACTCACGACCTGGCGCCTGCCCCGCAGTCGCTTATGCCTCTGGACCCTACGAACTAGCTTTGAGACCTCTGGAACTCAATCTTTCGGAGCCTCAGTTTTCAACTCTGTAAAATAGCGTAAGTCTACATTTCAGTGTGTACCTCCTATTAAAATTAAAGAGCACGTTATTTTTCTGTTGTTACTGTTATACCCCCGGATCCCTTAAAAAAAACCCTACAAGTAAGCCGGGAATAGTGGCGCACACCTCTAATCCCAGCACTCGAGAGGTTGAGGCAGGAGTATTGCTGTGAGTTCGGGTCAGCCTGGGCTATTACATAGTGAATTCAAGGCCAGCCTGGGCTACATAGCAAGACCTTGTTTTTTTAAAAAAACAAAAAACAAAACTGACTAGAATGTAGCTCAGGGCTAAGGCCCTGGGTTTATTCCCCAGTATCAGAAAAAGGAAAGAAAAAAAAAAAAACCCAGCAGTTATCATTACAGGTGTGTTGCTTTGTATGGGACCTTCCTACTCCACACCCTCCGAATAAACGTGAGTTGGGAGAGGCAAGTCCAGGACCAAATTCCCGCAATCTGCTAAACTCCCGCGCGGATCTTGTATTGGTCCAATGAGCGGACGTAGCGGGCTCCTTGGGGTTGGGCGTCCGGGGCGGCGGGGGCGAGGGCTCCGCCCCGGAAGGCGGGGGCGGGGGCGGGGCCGGGGCTGGAGGTGCTGGCCACGCAGCGCGGGGAGCAGACTGCGGCTGCCGCGGGACGCGTACCATGGCTGTGGGCTGGTTGCGCTGGCTGCTGAGGCTCCTCGTGCTGGGGCTTATGCTGGCGCTGCCGCGCGCTGCGGCTGGAGAGCAGGCGCCAGGTACATGGGGCGTGGGGACTGAGGGACCCGGGGCCAGGGATCGGACCCAGGACCGGGAGGTGGATGTGAGGTGTGGGGTCTGGTGTCTCGGGACGCCGAGCTTCCTGCTGCCAGAGATCTCTTCCCACTCCGGGGTCGCAGTCCGGACTTCACTTTCTTCGTCTAGTCGGGTGTGGAGGGTTGTCGTCCCAAACGCCCCGAACCCGTAAACCAAGAGAGAAAGTAAGTTTGGGGCAGTATGTTTGGTTTGGTCAGGGGGCACGCCCCCTGCCTGGTCTTTACGGGGTCTACTTACACCACTAAGGGAATAGTGTGGGGGGAGTTCCGAGAGTGATGGGGGTCTGTGCCCTCTCTACCAGTGGGGTGCCCCCTGCCATCCGGTGACTTCAGTGCCCAGCTATGCGGGGGGAGGGATCGGGGTCGGGCTGGGTGCCCAGGAGTGAGTCACACGCCGGCAGCGCGGGGGTTGTGGGGATCTGAACCCCCCCATCAAAGTTCTGCGATATGCTACCCCTTCCCCCGTAATGCCATGTCCGGGTCAGGCCGTGCGGTCACCTGTGAGGAATGTGGCGGGGGGGGGGGGGGGAGGACAGCGGGCGCCGGTGACTCACGTTATTCGAGCCGGCGGACCCTGACCTCAGCCCCCAGAATAGCCGCGCCCCTCCCCCCAGGCCTCTGATCCACGGCCCCCTCCTCAGGCACCGCCCCCTGCTCTCGAGGCAGCTCGTGGAGCGCGGACCTGGACAAGTGTATGGACTGCGCGTCGTGTCCCACTCGACCGCACAGTGACTTCTGCCGGGGCTGTGAGTGCGCGACGGGCTGGTGTCCAGTGGACCCTAGAAGAGGGGGAAAGTTGCTGGGGTGGAGAGGGGAGTAAATAGATGGTTTGGGATCTGGAGAACTAATCAAAAGGAAATAAGAGTGGGGAGTGATCAAGGTGGGAGCTATGGTGGGTGTGGGTTTGGGCTCAGTGATAGGGTGTGGGGAGAGATCTGACTTGAGACTCATCTCTAGGTGCTGCGACCCCACCTGCCCCTTTCCAGCTGCTTTGGCCCATCCTTGGGGGTGCCCTGAGCCTGGCCCTCGTGTTGGCGCTGCTTTCTGGCTTCCTGGTCTGGAGACGGTGCCGAAGGAGAGAGAAGTTTACCAGTCAGTGTGTCACTTCCACCCTTCTGCCCTCCCATCACTTCTGCACATTTCTCATGCTCATGACATCTCTCCCACATCTCTTGCAGCCCCCATAGAGGAGACTGGTGGAGAAGGGTGTCCTGGTGTGGCACTGATCCAGTGACTGGGTCCCCCCCACCTGGAGCCTCACCCACTCATCATTCATTCATTCTTCTGGAGCCAGCCTCTGCTTCCCAGACAGACCCAGAGCCAGACCCATAGCCAGGCCTCCTCCAGCCACAAGGGGGAAGAGTTGTGAATCACCCCGGAGGTTGGGCCCAGGGTTCAGGGGAGGCTTCCAAGGTGTCTGATTGCCCTGTCTGGCTCCAGGACAGAAAAAGGAGCCTCATGCTACTCACAGTAAGAAACTGCAGCATTTGCACAAGGGGGTCTCCCTGTCCCCCTGATGTCTTGGAGGCCAGGCTGACCCAAAGGTTAGACATAACACTAAGCCCCACCCACTCAGATGGACTGAAATGGGGGCAGGAGTCAGCCTGGGGCAATTAGGGACCTGTTTTTAACACTAGAGGGCTGGCCCTCTAGGAGGGCTGGCCCTAAGATACAAACCCCACCCCACCCCCACCCCCAAAGAGGGGTAGGAGATATTTATTTTGGGGAGAAAGTTTGGAGGGGAGAATTTATTAATAAAGAATCTTTAACTTTAAATGGTTTGGAGTATGGCATGATCCCCAGTCTGACTCCTCAGAGCTGGAAGGAGCCAGTGAGTCAGTTGCCTGCTGCGGGGGTGGGGGTGAGGCTCTGACTCACACATTCTCAATGCCTGTAACCCAGCCTGCCAGGACCTGGCCAGCTCTGACCATTTTCCAGGGAAGATCTTGAAAAACCCAAGCATCCAGCACCCCACCCTCTTTGAAGGCCCCATGTTCCAGACAGGGTCTTCCTATGAAGGCTTCAATTGCTAGGCAATCTTTATTCACTTTCGGAGAGGACACTTCCTCCCCATGCTGCTGCCCCTCCCAACCCAAGATTCCACTGAGCTCAATGTCCTCCTCTGTTAGGGGTAGATCTTGGTGCCCAGGTGCCTGATGTAGAGGAGTATAAGCAATTACCCTGTCCCTTCATAGAAACTGTCAGTCTTATATCAGGCAAGAAAGTAGGGAGAGTCATAGTCTGCCAATGCTCAGAGCTTGATTGTATCACCAGCTGGGATTGCAGCAAAGTGGGGGCTGGAGGTATCCCCTATCCTCAACAGCCAGAGGGTCTCTGGGATCAGACTTCCAGGGTATCGCCAGAGAAGCAACTCTGAATAGGGGCTCCTGGAACAGGAAACAACAGTCAAGGCATGGGTAAAGAGTGGTGTGGCAGAATCATCCCCCCCCCCTTCCCATCTTAGCAAGGATGGGAAACACAAGTTAGTTAGAAGCTAAAAATAGCACAATGAGGCAGGACATAGTGAGTGGCTCTGAGGAGCAGGTATGATCAATCCTCTAGGAGGTCTGATCAGTGGAGGTTGCCTACCTGAGTGGAGGCAGGGCAGGGGGGAAAGTCTTAGGGAGGCTGCAGTAGGGGTGGTCAATATATAGGCTAAGTCTAGAGAAGTGGGTGGCCATGTTCTCCTCGGAACTACTTTCTCGAGGGCTCCCTGGGGAGAGACAGGAAGACAAGCAAGGATAATGAGAGAGGTGGTTGCATGATGGGGTCTAGAGATGACATTCAGTCTGGAGCCCTTCCTTCTCCCAAACTCACTGCTCCTCCTCCAGGCGTCGCTTGGTGCTCATGGGCACAGCTCCTCTGAGAGTAAAACTAAGAAAAAGAGATCCAGGTGCACCCAACCCTCTTGGTTCTTCCTGAGGATCTGCCCTCCGGAGCTTGCAGCGTCTGCCAGGAGTCCCCAGCCCATTTCTAACTCAGTCACACTTAAGCCATTCTCCTCTGGCCATCCAACAACGTATCTCAGAAGTCTTGACCATAAACTGGCTCCCAGCCTTAACCCTATTTCACTTCAAAGACAAGCCCTACGGTTTACCTCACCCGGTGTCTTTTGCAGATCAGTCCTGCGCCCCCAGCTAAAGCTCCTGCGCCCCTCGTGGGGGTTACCCCGCCAGTGCCCCAAAACACACCTGGTGTCCAGATCCCGAGTTACCCCTGAGGTGGCCCGCAAGGCGAGAGCTGGGTAGGCCCGCTCCAGGGGGTGCTGCTGGATCATTGGGGTTGGGGTCCCGCGGACAGAGGGGTGGGATCCAGGAAGCAGGGGCGGAGCTTCAGAGGCGTGGCCCAATCGCAAGGGGGCGTGACTTGACTCACGCTGCGAGGGTTCTGCGCAGACGCGGAAGGGGAGTGGCGCGCGGTCAGAAGGCGGGTCTTTTCGGCGGAGTGGGGGTGGGGGATCCGACGGAGCAGGAAAGCAGGAGCGCCAGTTCTTAGCTGTCGGGAGGTTTGGTACGCTCTCCTTGATTCTTGAGGAGTGTGGCGGTACCAGACGACCGCCTTCGCCCGATCCGTCGGCAATATCGAGGTACTAGTAGTCGTGAAGAGGAGCCGCTCTCAGGCACGTCCGGCGTTGGAGAGGCTGCGTTACACGGGTGCACTGTGGGACTTGTAGTTCCGGAGATGGAACGTGCTACGCAGCTTGCGGTGCCTCTGGGTCAGGTGAGCCGACGTGGGCCTGGTGCTTTCTGGGGTTTGGAGTCTCTGCATGGCTTGGATGGAATGGGCAAGGGATAACGCTGGAACACTGGTGTGCGGAAACGATTAATGAGACTCTGGCTTCGTAGGGGACTGTGGAGTATAGGCAAGAGTGGCCTGAGTGAAAGTCGAATGTAGAGGCTAGAAGTCGGTCTATTTTTCTGTCCTGAAGTAATAAAGCCATTAATTCTTTCTAGCTTGAACCCAGGAGGCTCATGAATGTTAGGTAAACATTCGACCTAGTTACTTTTTTGCCCCCACTACCTTAAATTTTTTGTTTTGTTTTGTTGAGATAGGGAGTCTGTGTAATCAAGGGTGCCCAGGGTGCCCTTGAACTTATGTGGCCCTGGCTGACCTCTCAGTGATGCTCCTGTCTCAGCCTTCCCAGTGCTGGAATTACAGACATGCACCACCACACCCAGCAAACCTCCCTTTAAATTTCGAGATAGGGTCTGGCTAAATTGCTCAGGCTGGCCTTGAACTTTGTGAACCTCCTGCCTCAGCCTTTCCTGTAGCTACACTTTAAAAAAGAAAAGGCGGGTGTGAAACCAGGTGTGGTGGTGCATGCTTGTGGGTTCCAACATTTGGAAGGCTGAGACAGGAGGATTGCTGAGAGTTCGAGGTCAGCCTGGGCCTACATAGTTCAAACTGCTCTGAACTACATAGCAGAGACCTTGTCTCAAAAAATCCCAGAATAAATAAATAAAAATCAAAAATGAAACTACTTGTGGTGTGCTGTAATCCCAGCAATCCAGAAACTGAGGTGGGACAATCACTAAGAGTTTGAGGTTCACTATATATTAAGACCCTGTCTCAAATATAAATAAAAAGTATACATAAATACATAAACAAGAATATTGATGCAATAATTGTACAGGAGCCTTTTTTTTTCCCCTTCCAGTATTGGGGATTGAATCTAGAACCTTCACACTGAGCTACATCCCCTGCCCTTTTTTTATTTAGTATGTTAAGATAGGATCTCACTAAATTGCTAAAATCTGAGTTTAAATTTGTAATCGTTCTGCCTCAGCCTTTCAGAGTGCTGGGATTATAGGCATGTGCCACCTATGCCCTGAAAATGCCACTTTTTAAAAAAAAAGAATAAAACAGAGCAATAAAATGAAACAAAACAAAAAAGTGATAAGATGCTGGGAAATTCAAAATCATTACTATTCTGCATATTGTTATATTCGTAGTCTAAATAGTTCTCAGGGTACTGATCCCAGGCTTGCAAAGTCAGTCAAATGTCAGGTTGCTTCCCTGCTTCAGTTATTATCGTCTCAGACTCTGACCTGTGCGACTGCTTACGGGTTGGGGATGGTGGAGGGAGCTTCCTTGCTGATTCTCCTGGCAGGACCAACGTAGGCACACAGGGGTCTGCATGGCTTCCCAGTGGTTCTCTCTGGCAAGTGCCACTTTTTAATCATTTTCTATATGACAGCCCCAGGCAAGGCTTTTTGTATGAATTTTGTACATTAGCTTGTACACTAGCTCATTTTAATTGTGGTAGGATCTCTTGTAAATGCCATTTGACTGTTGAAGAAACTGGTAGAAGAGGTTTGGTGTTTGCTTTGCACTTCCAAGGCATCACACCCCCAACTCTTTTTCTTACCCGCTTCTTGGGAGTCACTTCTGGGGCTGCATGGACAAGTGTCTGTGTAATGAACACCTCGAAAGAGTGCTGAGAAGTCTGGATATGAGAGACCTGGCTGCGACTAGGGAGGCAGGGAAGAGCCAGTGGACAGAGGCTTCATCCAGTCTCTCTCCACAGACTGAGGTGTTTCAGGCCCTGCAGCGACTGCACATGACCATCTTCTCCCAGAGTGTCTCACCCTGTGGGAAGTTTCTGGCAGCTGGTAACAACTATGGGCAGATTGCCATCTTCAGGTACCCTTGACCACTACTCTCCACCATCCTGAGCCTTGGCACTTGGCCCTCGGGGCTCTGATGCCCCCTGCTTCTGACCCCTGCCTGTTGTCTTCAGTTTGTCTGCTGCATTGAGTTCAGAGGCCAAAGAAGAAAGCAAGAAGCCTGTGGTAACCTTCCAAGGTGGGTATAGCTGTTGATATGGCTTAGGGGACCCCAGGGTGGCAGAGATGGCAAAGTGGGCTTACTCAAGCATTTACCTTTAGCCCATGATGGACCTGTCTACAGCATGGTCTCCACTGATAGACACCTACTCAGTGCTGGGGATGGGGAGGTGAAGGCCTGGCTTTGGGCAGAGATCCTCAAGAAGGTAAGGAATCTGGAGTCTGGGAAAGGGCTGTGCTACCCTACCCAGAAAGAGCCTTTGTGGTCACCCAGTGTTTTCTCTTGTATAAAGGGCTGTAAGGAAGTGTGGCGTCGTCAGCCCCCATACAGGTGAGCCAGAGCCATGTGAGTGGAACTCATGTTGGGTGAGGGCACTGCCTTGCTGACCCTGACCTTGACCCTGCCCTTCCTCCCTCAGGACCAGCCTGGAGGTGCCTGAGATCAATGCCTTGCTGCTTGTTCCCAAGGTCTAAACCTTTTGTGATAGTTCTTGTCCCAAACCTTGAGTCTTTACCTACTCCCTGTCCTGATTTGACCTGACTTCCACTCTGCTCCATCTGCAGGAGAATTCCCTCATCCTGGCTGGGGGAGATTGTCAGCTGCACGCTATGGACCTAGAAACTGGGACCTTCACGGTGAGCCGAGTGCTGGAGCTGGGGCAGATCTGGGCCAGGGGAGGCACTCTTCCTGGGTGTCTTCATCACTCTGTCCTTCTCCCTACAGCGGGCTCTCCGGGGTCACACAGACTATATCCATTGCTTGGCACTTCGAGAACGGAGTCCTGAGGTGCTATCAGGCGGTGAAGATGGGGCTGTGAGGCTTTGGGGTAAGGAGGTGGCTGGCTGGAGGGCAGGATAGTGGGAGGAAGGTGGGGTCCAGTAGGGATAACTGGAACCTTCATGGCTTTTTACCAACAGACCTCCGCACAGCCAAGGAGGCACAGACAATTGAGGTTTATAAGCATGAGGTAAGGAGATGGGTCACACACCTTTTCTCTTCCCCACCCTATCTCTGTCTTCACCTCTTTCTCCTCCCTCCAAGGAGTGCTCCAGACCACACAATGGGCGCTGGATTGGATGTTTGGCAACTGATTCAGACTGGATGGTGAGCTGGCAGGGTGCATTGGGGAACTAGGGGAGGGTAGTGTGTTCAGGCCCTGTCAGCTGAAGACTCCTGGCTCACAGTGGCTGGGAACCTGCACCTTTCTGCCAGGTCTGTGGAGGGGGCCCAGCTCTTACCCTGTGGCACCTGCGATCCTCTACACCCACCACCATCTTCCCCATGCGAGCACCACAGAAACATGTCACCTTCTACCAGGACTTGGTGAGACCCTCTGCCTTGCTTCTGCCATCTTCTCCCAGATCCCTTTCCAGCCCTGAGCTCTTGTCCTCCACAGATTCTGTCAGCTGGCCAAGGCCATTGCATCAACCACTGGCAGCTGAGTGGGGAGCTCAAGGCTCAGGTGCCTGGCTCCTCCCCAGGGCTGCTCAGCCTCAGCCTCAACCAACAGCCGGCAGCACCTGAGTGCAAGGTGGGTCAGGCACCTGGGCATGCCAGGGGGTCTAGGGAGTGTGGGCAGATCATTCATGGCTCTTCTGCCCCTAGGTCTTGACCTCTGCAGGCAACAGCTGCCGGGTGGATGTCTTCACCAATCTGGGCTACCGTGCCTTCTCCCTGTCCTTCTAACACCTGAGCAGTCCCCCTTTGGAGTCTTATTTTTTTTACAATAAAGTTGCAAGCTTTCCTTCCTTGTGTTTTCTTCCCAAGAATGGAGACCAAAAGTCCATGTAGTGATTTATATATATTACTCTGTCCAATTTTGATACATAAATACCTGCCCCCTCTCCTGCCCTGGAGCAGGCCAGAGCAGGGGGCCTAGGTAGAGAAGACAAACCTATACAGATGCTAAAATAGATGCCTTTGCTCTGCCACCGACCAGCCCCTGGCCCCAAAACTGGCACCTGCATGGGAAGAACCCCGGCCCAGCTTTGGGGGCGGGGAAATCCGGGCCTTGTAGCTCCATTGACCATTAGAGGAAAGTAAATGCCACCTTGGGAAAGGATGCCTCCTCAGCCAGATGTCAGGTCCTTCGAAAGAGGTTACTGAGAAAGCCACCAGCCGGCCCAGGACCCAGGCGCAGTGAGAAACCAGTGGAGGTGCGGCGTGGACCTGATGCTGCTGCACTCAGCTCCTTCTGCCGTTGAGAGCGCAGTTGCTGCCCAATCACCACCTGCATGTCGTCCTGTGGGAGGTGGGGTTGATGTGTAACTGTCCAGGGTGCCTTGGTCTCGAGTCCCTCCCACCAAGCCCGCCCCGCCCCTCACCTGCCAGGCCTCCAACTCTTGCGTTAGCGCCACCTTCTGGCGGATGGTGCGCAGCAGCTCTCGGGACAGGGAGTCTCGCTCAAGCGAGACCCGGCCAAGCTCCAGAGACAGTTCCAGGGCCCTGCGGGCAGGAAGAGCAGATAATAGTCTGAGGATGCTGAGGACTCCTCGGTGGAGCAGAGTTGCTTACACTGAAATCATGAATGTCAAAATGTCCCCGAATCAGGATGGGAATAACTTCAATCCATATCAGAGGTAAGAAGGCCAGGGGAGAGTACCCTGGGCCCTGTCGCTCCACCTAGGACTGTGGAGGAAGAGAGTAGTGGCTCACTTGTTCACGGCTTGGTCGCGGTCTGAAAGCGCCCTGCTCAGGGCCTCCTCGGGATCTTCCTGAGTCCGAAGCTCCTTCTGCCTTTGCAGCTCTTCCCGCAGGGTCTGCAGCTCTGCCTGCTGCAGTGCAATCTGCAGGCAGTGTAGGGGGCAGCAAGGCAGGTGAGCCCCTGGACCTTCTAAGCAGTCCTGGCTCTAGCTTGCCTGGCTGTCACCGCCCTCCCCTGCCTGCTCCACAAACACTAGGTACTTGTGGCCCTGTTCTGGAAATGAATTCTCTGAGTCCCTTGCTGATGCAGGGTGGGGTGGGGTAGGATTAATCAGGTAGGTAGGGGTAAAAGCCTGCAGGAGGGCTACAAGGAGAATTGTTGGAAATACAATGAGAGTGAGGGGTTTAGCCCCGGAAGTCTCCTGGAGCTAGCCCCATCCCTCCCACTCCCTCTTCCTACGGACACACACTGGAGATTGAACCATGGCCTTTGCACTGTGCTACATGCCATTATTTTTTGTTTGTTTGTCTTGAGACAGGGTCGGATACTGCTAAATTTTCCAAACTGAAGTTGAACTCCTATTCTTCCTGTCCTCACCTTTTCAGAGTCCTGGAATTAACTTGCATGCACAGCCAGGCTAATTTTTTGGGGGGAGGAGGTATAGAACTTGTGACCTCATGCTTGTCAGGCAGGTGCTTATGCTGCTGAGCTAAATCCCTGTCCCCAGGCTAATTCTTAAAGCATGATTGCAAGTTCATTGAAGTGTAAGAAATCCAGGTATAGGGATGACAGGGCTTATCAGACAAAGGCTGGGAAGTGAAGATGGAAAAGAGATCAGGACAGCTGGTGGAGTGCTGTACCCCTCCCATACTTCATCCTGCAGTTTGGCCACTTCCGTCTCTTTCTCCTCTAAAATTTCTGCTGGACTCAGGGGTGCTCGCTTCTTAGGGGGCTCCAAGCTATCCACCTGGGGTGAAGGCCGGAGACTGGAAGCCTCTTCAGTCTCCAGGGACACAGTGATCTGTGGGTCAAAGGACTGGTCAATACCATGTGGATTCTCATAGTGAGAGGAGGAGTAAAGTTTTATGCTGCTTGCCCATGGCACAGGTGGGGAGCCAGCTTGGAGCCAGGAACTCACCTGGGTGTCTCTGCCTGCACTGGCATCCTGCTCCTGGTCTTGGTCACTGTTGAGGCTGTGGGCAAGCTCCGACTGCAGTGAGCTGCTGGACATGTTGGCGTCCTGGAGGCGTGATTCCTCCTCCAGCTCCAAGACTCGCCGCTGCAGCCTTCTCAGTGCGCTCAGAGCCTCACCAGCCTCAAAGCGCGTGCGTTCCAGCTGCAGAGGGTCGAGCCAAGGCACAGAAGGTTGGCCCCACAGGCAGACACCTGCTCCCCATGACATTCATACCTGGGTGCCTGCGTGCCAGCACCCCAGCTCCCACGCACGCCCTGGATCAAGGGGCCACTTTGGGCCAGTGTACTTCTGGGTTTTATAGCTTCTTTACTTGTAAAGCAGGGCACGCCAAGCATCAACCCCCACTTTGCAGTCACACCCCATTAAGGTCACCCACACCAAGTGCGTCCTTTTTCCTGCTCAGCTACTTTCTAGCTCTATTAATTGCTTGGATCTTGAGTTTACTGATCCTTCCTACTGAGCCTTATAGCCTTACCACAGTCATTCCCATCCCATCTCAAAGATGGGGAAACTGAGGCTGGCAACCCCACAATAGTACACAAAGGATGTTGAGATAAAATCCAGGTAATCTGATCTCGGAGTGTAAACTCTTAAGATCTCAAACGTTTCTTTCCATTTCTCCATGTCCCTTTTCTTTCCATTTCTTCATGTCCAGATATGGTTCAGACCAAGCATTTAAAGTCTGAACTCTAACCTCAGCCCCTTCCTTGGTCTCTCAGCTGCCTTTTAGCTCTGATTCATTCTAGGAGCGTACCTCCCTCTTCAATAGTCTTCTGTGACTCCCACTTGCCCTCAGGCTAATGCCTATGCTCTTCTGACACAGCTGCCAGGCTCCCAGTGACCCAGCTCTGGCCATAACTACCAGAAATCCCTGAAGCCCTTGCCAAGGGCCCAGCTGACTGCCCACCCCCTCTAGCCTTAGGTCACCTCCAGGCTGTGCTCTCTCCTCTCCCTCTTCAGCAGCAGCAGCTCCTCATGAGTAGTCTGCAGCCTGCCCTGGCCCTTGTCCACCTCCTCATGCAGGCTTCGAATCTGGGCCTCCAGGTCATGCCGACGGCTCTGCAGCATCTGATTCTGGGGCAAGGCCATAGAGCTTGGGTAGGGGGCAGTCCTAGATGCCCCAAGGCCCACCCTTCTGCCTCAGCCCAACTCAGCCTAGAATTCCCACCCTGCAAGACTACCTCCCCTTGCAGACTCTCTAGCTGTGTCCTCAGGTCTGCTCCAGCCAGGGCTTGAGCCTGGCACTGAGCCCGAAGTGCATCCAGTTCTCTCTGAAGCTCCTGTTCCATCTGAGAGGCCTGGGTAGGGGACAGGGAATGAAATTCCAAGCTAGCTCTAACTTCAACACCCACCCAAGACACTTAGCCCCACTGGGAATACATGTGTTGGCAGGCCCCACCTCTCCTGAGCCAGGGTCACCTACCTGGGCCAGCTGCTGGCTAAGCCGGAGGTTCTGTTCACTGAGCTCACCAAGGGCCCGAGCCCGCTCTCGTCCACTGTCCTGTTGCTCTGAGCGCTGCTCTCCCAGCTGGGCCCGCAAGGCTGCCACATCACCTTCCAGCTCCACAGCCCTGGCCTCCCACTCTGCGCCCCGGGCTGCCAAGCCCCGGCGGAGCTCATGGTTCTCCTGCTGCAGCCGCTGTGGGGACCATGCAGAGGGTCAGAGACAGGGTGACATGAAACTGGAGCTAACCCAGACAGCAGGACAGAAGGACACTGACTCAAAGAGAGAATGGTGGAGGTGGGAGAGAGACATAAAAAAGGGAGAAAATAGGATAGGACTGCAAAGGGAGGACATTCAAGGATCAGAGACAAGACTACAGATAAGCAGTGGAGAGAGACTCTGGCTGGACAGGAGGCTGGCACTGGACAGGGAGAGTAAGGCCTCCCTGATGCCCACTCACCTCAACCTGCTGCCTGGACTCTTGGACCCGAGGCCGCAAACGCCGTTTCTGGCGCCTGAGTCTGGCAGAGTTTAAGCCACGGCCCATGGTTTCAGTCCCACACCTGTGGTGTCCTAGGGGATCTGCAAGCTGAGGCTCTGACCAGTCCCTCTCCCTGTTCCCTCTAATTATCCCTGGCCAGCCCTATCAGAGCTCCACCCTCTGTCTGCCCTTCCCCAAACCTGCCTGACCAGTGAGGGGATGTGTGCTTGTACACTCAGGTGCCCATCTTAGGGAGGAAGCCAAGTCAAGGGCCCTCAAAACAGGAAGGGCCCAGGGCAGGTGACAATAACCATAGTTGCTACAATATCAGTACTGTATTAAGTAGTCCTGCCAAGGGCTCTACCTGCAGTATTTTATTTAATCCACTAGAGGGAGAATCATTAACAGTCTCAGATGAGAATACAGGCTCAGAGAGGTTCAATACCTTCTTGTCCAAGCACACACAGTAAATTAATGGAGCAGAAATGCCAGCCCCGGCAGCCAAATGCTTAACCTAATATGGCTCTGTAATTAAGCTGGCAGGTTTGAGGTCTGATTGTCCTGGCTGGTGCTCAGTTCTGTTGCTGTGTAGCCTGGGTAAATTCCTTTAATGTCTTCAAGTTCCATCCTTCCCACCTACCAATACTTCCTGAGCTCCTTCTGTTGTATGGTCTATCGTGGTTAAGCAAGGCCATGAAGTTTACTGCCTTACCAGCTTAGAGTCCAGAAGGTCATGGGAAAAATTACATGCTTGAACCATTAATTTCAGAGGGATACTGAGGGCTGTGAAGAAGCCTGGGAAAGTGGTAAGTGAGAAGAAGGTGGATGGGCATCCCCTACAGAGGAGTTGTGGTTGGGACTGACTTCTGCAGGGCAAGAAGGAGACCACCAGGAAGAGTGCTGTCTCAAGGAACGGCAATGTAAAGGCCCCGTGGGTACAAGTTTGAGTCAGCTTGGGGATTTTAGGCTTTGGTGAGAAGTTCACTTTTATCTTAAGTGTGATGGGAGCTGTGGGTGAGATTCTGGACTAAGAGTGAAATGACCTGATGGTCACTGGTTGCTCCATGGGAACTGACTCCAGGAGCCAAGAGGGAATGCCAGGCAGAGAGGGAGGGGAGCTGGCCCCAGGATGAAAGCTGCAGAGACTACCAGAAGCAGGTGAATTTGGTGTTATTGTTTTGTTTTATTTCTTTTATTTTATTTTTTGAGACAGAGTCTCATTATGCAGTTCAAGCTGGCCTTGAATTCAATATGTAGCTCAAATTGGCCTTGAACTTGTGGATCCTTCTGCCTCAGCCTCCTGAATGCTGGGATTACAGGCATGTGCCATCATGCCCAGCTAAGCAGGTAAATTTGGTACCTGGTGTAGAGGATTCAACAGGGGGTAGACTGCTTGTGCACAGGTAATCAAGTACCATTGTGGTGAGACACCCAGTAGGTGGTCTGGTGGTAAGAACCCAGAGTGGTTTATTATCCACGTCAGCTCAGAGCAGAGATTGGGGATGATAGCAGGCTGTTTAGGGGCTTAGATGTGAGCCCCAGCATGAGAGTAAGGCTGACTACAGTCTGGGCAGAGGGAAGAACTCTTCCTACTTTGCAGGGTTGAGCAAGAATGAACCAAGATGATGCATGGAGAGCACTTAGCTAGGTGCAGGAGGGAGTGGCACCCAGGATCTGTTGGGTGGGGTCACACTATGTTGCTGAGGAGCCAGGCTGAAAATCCAGAGGGCCAGCCCAGGTTCACACAGTCAAGCAGATGTCTGAATCTAGATCCTGACTTGTCCTTAGATTTTTTTTTTTCTTTGTGCTAGGGATCAAACTCAAAGCCTGGCACATACTAGACAAGTGTTCTACCACTGAGCTACAGCCCCAACCCAGGATTCTTATTCCTAAGCCCTGAGCCAGGGGAACTTGGCCCAGTCCCAAACTATCCCAGAGGCACCCTCTGTCCTATGCCTGCCTACGATCCTCTCTCTTTTTCATGTCTTGCTCCCCTTCCCCAGTCACCCCAGCCCTCTTGCCCTGTGCCATCCCCCAGTGGCCAGCTCACTTCCTCACGCTCAGTGTGCTGGGAGCTCAGTGTCTCCAGCTGCCTGCGAAGATCTTCGTTGCGCTCCAGAAGCATCTTGCCAAGTTCTGCCGCCAACAACAAATCCTTCTCCTTCTGCTGTAGTTGCAGGGCCAGGTCCTCTGGCTCCCCAGGCCCAGGGCCCACTCCCAGGAATGAATCCCTCCGTTCCAGGACAAAAGGGAAGAAGCCTTCATCACCGCTCGGGGAGGTGCCCCCGGAGAGCAGCCCCGTGGGGAAGCTTGGCCCTTCCGGGGAGCTCATGGCACCTGCAGCATCTGTGGGAACAGACTGCTATAGGCCTAAGTGCTTGCCCCTTGGTGGCCCACACCTGGTCATCCCAAGTCCTGCAGCCAGGGCCTCCCTGGCACAGAGGGGTTAATGACCTGTGTTTTGGCCACCCAACTCCGTTAATGTCCCCAGGGTAGACTGAGGCAGGGAGCAGAAGGAAATGAGACACCTCCCTTCTGCTTCTGCCCCCAGGACACTTGGGACCCATACTCTGGGACCAGAGCCACGCTCCTGGCAGTCCCTATGCCCTGTCCCAGAGCTCAGCTCTTTTGCTCCCAGCCTCTCACCATTCGGGCATGGATTGCCAGAACTCAAGCTGGGTCCAAGTGTGAAGTGTGGACCCAGCACTCAGGGATAAGTTCAGCTCCTTCTTCCAAAAATATGAGGCACTCCCCCTTGGGAACTTAGGTGTCCCCACACTTGCCAAGAATACAGCTTCCTCCCTTCCCCGAATCCCAGCTCCCCAGCTCCCAGTCCTTTCTTCTCCCTCCTAGTTTCCCAGGGGTTTTGAACTCCAGACTTGAAGGTCCTACCCTTGGTGTTCTCTCCTGGACTCCCAGCCCCATTCTCTCACCTTTTCTAAGACCCAGGCATTCCTGACCCCACCAGTCGGGACCCAGAAGCCATCCCCTGAAGACCCTCATTTCCCAGGCCCCTGGCAGCTGGCCCAGGCAGGGCGAGGTAACAGGTTGTGCCGGCCGGTGCATCGCCGCCGCCACCGTGAGTTTCTGTTTACTTCCCGGCCCGCCCCTGGGACAGGAGACCTGGGTCCCCAGGGCCGCTCAAGGCCGCAGGTGCTGGGGGCACCGCTCTCGAGAGGAAGGCCCGGCACGCGGGCACTTGGCCCTGAACCCCGGGGGTGCCCGCCCCCCCCCCCCGCACACGCGGAAGCGCGCGCTCGGGTCCTGCTCCTCCCTCTGCTGCGCGCACAGCCCGGGGTGCCACCGTGGTCCCCGCGCTGCCGCCCGAGCCGCACCCCAGGCAGGGTCTTCCGAACCCGGGTGCCTTCTGCACCCAGATGGCCGAAGCCTTCCTTCCTGTCCTGTCCTGTCCTGTCCTGTCCTGTCCTGTCCGTGTCGCGACTGCCCCCCGACACGGCGTCTGGGCCTGTCCCGCCTAATCCTCATCCTCCACGGACAGTCCGACCCGAAGCCACAGGGTCCCGCCCTCGGCGCCCCCAACTCTCACCTGCCACCGTCGGCTGCGTCCAGGTCCCCGCGGTGCCCAGTCCCCTCTTCCGGAGGCGGCGCCAGGTGTTCGGGCCGCACAGGTGAGGGGGCGGTGCCTCGGGAGGGGCCGGGACGCCTCCTGGTGGCCCGAACGGCCAGGCGGGGTCAAAGGAAAGTCGCCTCCACCTTCTCAGAGGTGCCAACCCATTTTGCTGCCGCTGTTGGAATTGACTGCGTTAATTGAGCATCTACTGCTTGTGAGTCTACGCTGAGGCAGAGATACGCTTTTTTCCTGTCCCCTCAAGATTGTCCTGTAAATTTTTCTTTTTTTGTTTTGTTTTGTTTTGCGTCTTTAGGGGCTGAAAGCTACGACCTTCACACTGAGCTGCATTCGTTTGTGGTTTGTATTGAATAGATACATTGTGGAGAATTGGTACATGTATGCAGTATATTGCATTTTAATCCATTTTACTTCCCCTTTCCCCCTCTTGTCTCCCTCCATCTGTAGACTCTCTCCCCATCTCTCTGTGTCCTGTCATCTGTCTTTCATTTTGCTCTTTAAATTATTTATACTTTGAGTTTTTCATATGAGAGAAACCAGATGGTATTTAACTTTCTGGTTTATTTCACTTGCCCCAGTCCTTTTATTTATGTTTTTATTTATTTTTGTCTTTTTAAGACAAGGTCTCGCTATGCAGTTCAGGCTAACTTTGAGCTCACTTTGTAGCCCAGGCAGGTCTCAAACTTGCAACAATCCTCCTGCCTCCACCTCTCCAGTGCTGGGATTACAGGAGTGTGCCACCACGCCCAGAATCCCAGTCCTTTTAAAAATCGTTTTTACTTATTTTATTTTTTGATGTTTTGTGACAGGGTCTTGTTATGTAGTCAGGCCGGCCTTTAACTCACAATATAGCCCTAGTCTGATCTCTCACTTTCTATAATTCTCCTGCCTCAATCTCCCGAATGCTAGGATTATAGGAATGCACCACCTTACCAAGCAATTTTTTAAAATTTTTATTTTAGAGAAAGGGTCTCTCTCAGTTGCTAAATTGCTGTCTCCACTCAAATTTGTGATTCACTTGCTTCAGGCTCCAAGACTGCTAGGATTATAGGCATGCACCACCATGCCTGCCTTGGGATAAGAAAGTATTAACAATGGAAACAACAACCAACCTAATATGCTATGCCCTCTGCTAAATCAGCTCTTTTGTGGGAATAACCTGTTTTCATGGTATTCCAGTGAAGCAGAGACTACTAATACATATATAAGCCAGCTGAGGCTCAGCAAGGTGACCCATCCCTTGACTGTGGATAGCAGAAATGTGATCCTAGGGCCATGCTCTTTACTGATTGCCACACTGCAGAGATTCACACTGAAACCCAGACAGCTAAGGTGACTTGCTTGTAGACACTATCAATTATGTGTGGATCAAAACTTGGTGCTCTTGGTTGGTTGCTACCTTGTATGGAGCTAGCCTCATGCTCAGCTGGGGCTGGGGTCCTTGACAGGGAGAACGAGGGGCCAGGGCAGATGACTGAGGTCAGCCTCAGCCTCACCTGAGCATGCAGGGGTGCCTACCCAGGCTTTGAGGCTTATCATGACTCTTCAGACCCTAGGGCTCCTTAGGTTTTAGACAGATGGGGGCTCTTGGTCTGGAGGGGAGACATGCAGAGGATGGGAAGAAGAGAGCATGGCTGAGTAGATAAAAGCAGCCTCCTTGGGGAGAAAAGAAGCGCTGACTTGTATGTGTGAGTTTCTGTGGTGAAAAATACTCCTGCCTAGCTGATTTCAAACGACTGCCAGAGGATAGTCAGGTTTATTTATGGGGATCAAACTCCGGGCTTTGCAAGTGCTAGGCAAGCCCTTTACCACTGAGCTACAGCCCTATTTTTACATTTTATTTCGAGACAAGGTCTCACTAAGTTGCCCAGACTAGCTTCAAACTTGTGATCCTTCTGCGTCAGTTTTCAGAGCAGCTGGGATTATAGGCATGTACCACTGGTCCAGGCTAGCTAACTTGCTTTCCCCGCTTTTTCTCCTTTTGTAGGACTGGGGGCCTCACACACATTAAACAAGTGCTCTGCCATAGCTACACCCCTGGTCTCATAATTAGCTTTTGTCAATCAGTACCAGTTAGGTTTGCATACCTCTGGCTGGAGTCAGGGCCCCTGTCTCTTTAGGAGCTGACAGCCTAGTTACTAGGGACTTAGGGAAACAGGAGTGGGTGGGAGCTGGGACTTCTGGCTTGTGGGAAAAGAGTTGCAAAGACTCCTTCAGGGGCTAGGACTTGGGTTCTGGAGCCAGGACAGGCTTTCTGCTAGCAGAAAGTGGAGAGAACCAGTACTTTGCAAGGGGAGCAAGAGACTTATCAGAGCTTCATTGCCTAGAAAGGTTAAAGGCACTCCAGCTTCCACTGCCACCTGACTCTGTGGCAAACATAAACTTAGGGTACCCTCCAAGTGCCAGAATCACCCAGGCTTCATCACACCATGCTCAGCACATCTGTCCTGACCCACTCCCATCAGACAGATGATGTGGCTAAGACCCTTCTGCCAAGAGGTTCACAGTCTACTTAGCATACAGGCAAGAGTATAGACCTCAAGTCAGGAACTAATCCTATCTAATAATAAAGCGGAAGAGCTTTGTTCATGGGGGTTGGTATCCTGTGGCTTCAGTCCAAATCCCAGTTTGGCCCCTTATAGATATGTATTCCTGTGCTGTTCAGGTAATTAATCTTTCCATCCTTCAGTCTTCTCATCTGTAAAATGGGAGTGATAACATTTTATAGCTTCTAGAAGTATAAGATTAATGAGGATGAGGTAGTATACTTAGTCCCAGCTGGTGATCTTTCCCAGGGTCACAGAAGTGACTCAACCACATGTTACATTTTTTTTTAATCCCCTGGGGTAGCCCTATGAGGTCACACCATTCACAGGGGACAGCTCAGAGAGGCAAAGCCATTTGTGGGCATACACAGACTCTCCAATCCCACCTGGTGGGACTTCCAGCCCCAGAGCTCTTAGGACATTTGAATATAGTCTCTAGGCTTCTCCGGAACCAGAGGTTCTGGCCTTCAGTCTTCCTGCTAGACAGAGTTCTGGCTACTCTGAGAAGCCTCAGGGAAGCCCTGAAGAGGCTGGTATATGTCCAGATAAGGAAAGAATGCAGCCAGCCATGATGGCACAGCCAGCGACCACCCCACAATTTAGAGGCTTAAATCAATTGATGTTTGTTTGTTTGTTATACTGGGAAAGCCTTACACATGCTCTTCTGTCTCTGTCTCCCTTTCTCTCTCTTTTTCTCTAGATTCTGTTGGTGATTCTTTTTTTGCCTTTTTTTTTGTACCAGGGATCAAACTCATGACTTAGCGTTTGCCAGACAGGCACTTGCCTGTAGGCGCTTTTGCTGTTGAGCCAAATCCCCAGTCCCTTTTGGGTGATTCTTGCTATTGGGATTTCAGAAATTTCAGGCAAATAGTAGCTGGGGCTGAAGTCCATGGGAGGCCTCCCCACTGCATCTGGTACCTGAGCTGTCTGGCTGTCAGTGGGTGATGTGGAAAAACTTTAATGTTACTCTCAGGGAGGGGAGGGGCAAAGAAGGGTCTATGGTCACTTTTGTCCACCACAGATCCTAAATGTTTCAGCTTTATTCAACATCACCAAACTGGTTTCCCAAGGGCAGGTTTTCATTAGCTCCCTATAATAAGGAGTCTGACTCTATTTTTGATGTCTGACTACTGACACCTTTAAAGTTCTGTGCATTCTCTTCCCCTTTGTCCACATCTGGATGAGTTAGGTCTCTCTGTCTCAGACAGACAGAGAGAGACAAAGAGAGAGAGAAAGAAGTTGAAATCTGGAAAGCCCTGGCCACTTTGGAGGGACCTTCACCCCCAGACTCATCCCCTCACCACAGTAAAAGCCCTTTATCACTCAGACCATTTCCTTTCTATTTTATTTTGTGGTTCTGGGGATTCAACGCAGTCTTCACTACAACTGCATCCCTCTGCCGTACTTTTTTTTTTGATTTTTGGTATTTTTAAAACAGGGTCTAACTATGTAGTCCAGGATGGCCTTGAACTCACTACATAGCCTAGACTGATCTCAACATCACAGCAATCCTCCTGCCTCAGCCCCCCTAGTGCTGGGATTATAGGTATGTACACCCAGCTTCTTTTTTTATTTTTTAAATTTTTGTTTATTATTTATTTTTGGTACCGTGGATCTAACTCATGACCTTGAAAACTCCTGGCTTTATTGTCTATTTTGATCCAGGGTCTCACTAAATTGCCCAGGCTTGGTTAGAATTTGTGATCCTCCTACCTTGACCTACCATAGTACTGGAATTACAAGTGTATATCACCATACCTGGCTTCTTGGGTCGTTTCCATACCTGGCTTCTTGGATCATTTTCTTACCAGTAGGAGAAAGCCTTCCCTGGTCCCCCTAGAAAGTTCATCATTAAATAATCAAACTCTTGCCTTTTTTTTTTTTTTTTTTTTTTTTTTTTTGTCTTTTTCCTGGTACCAGGGATCGAACTCACGACTGCCTGCTTGCAAGGCAGGCGCTTATGCCGCTGAGCTAAATCCCCAGCCTCCCCCCACCCTTTTTTTTTGAAGCAGGGTCTTTTCGTGTAGCCTAGGTTGACCTTGAGCTTGTTGCATTTTCCTGCCTCAGCCTCCTGAGTGCTAAGATTACAGGTTTGTGACTGGTTTCATGTTCACTTCAGTGACTTCACTTCAGTGAACTTTGGGCTTCATCAGTGTTCAATCTCAACCAAATTCTGGGTGGTGCCCATTGTAAGACAACCACTTACCAATACCTGGCATCTTCAGACTTTTTTTTTTTTTTTTTTTTTTTTTTTAGTGGTACGGGGCATTGAACTTAGGACCATGTGTTTGCAAGGCAGGCCCCAGCCCGATCTTCAGATGTTTTTTCTTTTTCTTTCTTTCATTTTTTTTTTTCTTTCTTTCTTTCTTTTTTTGTTGTTTGTTTGTTTTTGGTACCGAGGATGGAACTCAAGACCTCACACTTGCTAGGCAGGCGCTTTCGCTCCTGAGCTAAATCCCCTCTTTAGATGTTTCTAATCTTGCAGATTTGATGACAAACAGGATCTGCTATGGACTGAATTATGTTTCCTCAAAATCCTTTAATTTAACTTAATTTAATTTTTTTGGTAGCAGGGATCGAACTCACAATCTTGCACTTGCCAGACAGGCACTTATGCTGCTGCCCTAAATCCCCGGCCTCAAAATCCTCTTAGTGAAGCACCTCAGAATGTGACTGTATTTAGATATAGGTCCTATAAAGAGCTGGTTAATTTCAACTGACCGATGTCCTTTTAGGAGGAGCACAGGAAAACTTTGTGAAGAGACAGCAAATGGTGGCCTAGGATAGAGGCCTGAGAGGAAGCGGACCCTCCTGGCTTCTTGACCTTGGCCTTCCAGCTTTCAGGTCTGTGGAAAAATAAATTTCTGGGTAAGCCGCCCAGCCTGTGGCATGTTGTTACAGAAACCCTATTAGAGAAAGGCAGGCTATCAGTGTTTTTCTTTGCATCGACTGTTTGCTATTTTGTCTAAAATGCAGATGAAGCTGGGCAAGTTGATACTTGCCTGTAATCCCTGCACTCTGGGAGGTTGAGGCACAAGGATGAGAATTTGAGCTCGGGCTGGGCGACTTATCGAGACCCTGTCTCAAAAACAAACAAACAAAACAATTAAATGAGTAGGGGATGAATAGGGATGCAGTGCGAGGACCCTGGGTTCGGGCCCCAGCACAATGCGGAGGTGTGTGGGGGAGAGGCATCTGGCGTTCATTTTGGCTCCCCCTACCGGCTGCTCCAAGGATCGACGGTCAGTCGAACTCAGGCTCTCCCCGCCCCTGGCAGAGAAGCGGATTCCCTGGATCCTTCTTCACTCGCCCAGCACGGTAGCAACCCCTGCGTCTGGGGTCTAGGGAAACCAACATCACGGGAGCACTGAGGCGCAGACGCGTGCAGCACGTGGGTTTGCGGGGGATGATCCGGCGGTGCACAGCTGGCCGGCAGGATCCCGCGGGGAAGGGAAGCTTTCTTCCCCGCCTTCTTCTGCCCGGAAATCCCCCTGGCGCTCAGACTGCCGGTGGCCTGGGGTCCTGGGGAAGGTTGGCTAGGGGGTGGAGGTGATGTAATGCGGGGGAGGGGAGGCCGGGCCGCAGTTCCCTCGGTTCGTGCAGTCGGAATAATGTAGAGCCGGCGAGATGGCGCCTGTAATCTCAGCACTCGGGAGGCTGAGGCAGGAGTACCGCTGAGATTTCGAGGCCAGCCTAACCTACATAGCGAGATCCTGTCTTTAAAAAAAAAAAAACAAAAAATAAAAAAGTAGAAGTGAGCTCTGCTCCAACAGTCACGGAAGATGCTCCCGGGGAGCGTGAGTAGCGCGAATTCGGGAAGAGAAACTTGCGAGCAGGGTGGATGGAGGTGGGAGGAGAGTCCAGTCCACCGACCCTGCTTTGAAGCGCTCAGAGAAGGCGGGGGCCCCGGTCTGGCCCGCCCCTTCACAGGCTGAACGTCCCAAGATTGGGCGCCCTGCCGCTTAGCTGGGTCCGCCCCACCTGGCCCTCCGGTATATGGAAGTCAGGACCACGCCCAGGACCCCGAGCTGCAGCAGCCGCGGACCTGCGCCCTCTCGACCCTCTTGGGATCCCTCAACTTCACGTGGGCCCCGCGTCCGCCCCCGGACCCCTGGACCCTCCGCTGTTGCTGCCCGGCGTCAATCCCTCGCTCAAACGCTCTCTCTCTGGATCCGGGTCCACACCTGCGCAGCCTTTCTACCCTGCGCTGTGTCCTCCGGCCCTCTCTGGACCCCTAGCCTCTTCCTGCTGGTCCCCAGGGCTGCTGAGGTCAAGCCCAGTGCCCAGGCCGGCAAACAGCATGCAGCGGCAGGTACTCGGGCTCCTGTCGCTGCTCCTGCCGCTCCTGTCGTCTCCTGCTCGCGTCCCGAAGCCCTCGGCGCAGGACATGAGCCTGGGCGTGGTGAGCTGAGCTCCGGACTCCTAGGATCCGCAGGGAGGCCGGGAGAGGGTAGTCGGGCGCCTGGACTTCTGTGCCCCGAGACAGCGGGCCAGGTTCACATGTTCACAGAGTGACTAAAGATGGTGTCTAGGGACAACCCGATTGTTGGATCTGTCGGAGGTTTGGGCCCCAGATTTAGCAGTTCTGGGGAGGAGCAGGGATGGAAAGCAGATGGGGCTGCAACTCTTGGGTATAGACAGAGACCGGCAAACCCAGCGCTGGGTGTGGGGGCCTTGAGGAAAGGGGAGCAGGCCGGCATCCGGGGCTGGGGGGCTCTGGACTCCGGATGCTGGGGGAAGGCGGGGGGAGGGGCGGCTTACAGGATACTGGTGAGAAGGGAGAGCTCCATCCTCCTACCCTCCGGCTTTATCTGTACCTTCGGATGGCCTAGGACTGGCTGACCCGTTATGGCTACCTGCCACCACCTCACCCCGCCCAGGCCCAGCTGCAGAGCCCTGCAAAGCTTCGAGATGCCATCAAAGTCATGCAAAGATTTGCTGGGCTGCCCGAAACAGGCCTCATGGGTAGGTACCGACCCTCCCTGATTCTGCAGACCTGCCTCAGTGCCCCAACTGACCATCTCTAAACTTCAGCGTGCACCTGAATCTCAGGAGCTGTGAGGATGCTGATCTTAAGTCCCAGCTCCACCCTGGAGTCTCTCAGGCATCTGTCTTTCAACAGACCTTTTTCAGGAACCTCTTAGACACCCAGCCATTTGAGACCCACCGTTACAGCCATGGAAAAAGTAGATAAAGTCCTGGCTCCTACAGAGCTAACATCCTAAGGGGCCAAGGGTATAGCTCATTGGTGTGGTGCCTACCTTGCAAGTGCAAGATCCTGAGTTCAGTTCCTGGGACCCCACCTCACCTTTGCCCCCCTCAAAAACACTAACATCCTGGGGCAAGAAAAACATAAGTCTAGAACATAAACATGCAAGATTATTTCAGATAGTGCTGTGTATATATGCATTTGTTTTGAAGTGGGAGGACTGAACTCAAGGCCCACGCATGCTGAGCAAGCAATTAATTTACTGCCGAACTGCATCCCCAGACTAAGGGGTGAAGAAAATAAAATGCTGGGGCTGGGGGTTTAGCTCAGCAGCATAAGTGCCTGCCTTGAAAGCAGGCAGTCGTGAGTTCGATCCCCGGTACCGATAAAAAGGAAAAAAAGACAAAGAAAAGAAAAGAAAAGAAAATGCTAATCATAGTGAGGGGCAGGTCCGGTTAGGTCAGGCCTTTCTGAGACCACCAAAAGGAACCAGCCATAGAAAAATGAAAGAGAAAGCTGTCCCAGTAAATGCAAATGCCCCATGGTAAGTATAAGTTTATGTGCTTGGAGTGAAAGGAGAGCTAAAGGTCTTAGGCAAGAGCCTGGTTAGGGGGCCTTGAAAGGTGTTGGGTTTGATTCCAGGGATGATAAGAAACCAAGGGAGGTTTGAAGAAGGGAAACAACTCTATCTGATTTACTGTTTCATGCTTCCTGTCATTGCTGCAAGAGAGAGGGGAGTGGAGAACAAGAAGGAGGCCTTTGTGGTAGTCAGGGAAGGGGTGATGGTGGCTGGAGTGAAGTGTGACCAGAAGCAGCTGAGCTGAGTGCCTGTATTTATGGGGTCAAAGAGAGAGGAAGGGAGAGATTGAAGGACACTGGCTTACTACAGGGAAGATTTTTCTGTCCTGTCCACTCTTGAAACAGCCTTGAACTGGGTCCTGACATCTCTATGTTCTCCTTTACTGTTTGTCACCTCAACTCCGAATGTAGTTTGACCTTAACTGGAAGATGAGTGGGGATGGAGCTGAGACAGAAAAGCGGATTCCAGGAAGACCTAACCGGGGAGGGGGTGGCTTGCTACAGGGAGCCAGAGGCTCCTGCTGGAGGCTTTGGGCTTGATCAGGGTGTCATGAGCATTAGGAGCAATGGGATGAAGTGTGGGCAGCTTCCCGGGAGTTCCAGCTCTCAAGGGAAGGAAGCACATTCTGCCCCTGAGGCCCCTTTCTCCTGAGTCTGCCTTCTCAGGCTCAGGAAAGGGGGTGTGGGGGCACAGCTGAGCCGCAGAGTGCCCCCTGGGGCAGCTAGTGTACCCAGGTGAGGTAGAAGGGGTACTGTCCACTGGGGGCTATGGTCATGATGTGATAGGAGCTTGCTTCCAGAGTTAGGCAGCTTGAATTCAGATCCTGGCAAATTTCTTAACCTCCCAGAGTCTCAATTTCTCTGTGTCAAAAAATTAACCATACCTGCTTTGGACAGGCTCTCCTAGTGCTGACACCAGCACCCCCTGCCCCATTTCCTACAGACCCAGCGACAGTTGCCACCATGCACAAACCCCGATGCTCGCTGCCTGACGTGCTTGGTCCGGCAGGGCTTGTCAGGCGTCGCAGGCGCTATGCTCTGGGTGGCAGTGTGTGGAAGAAGCGCACTCTGACGTGGAGGTAGGTCCTGGTGCCCCCTGCCTGCCAGTGAAGCCTCCCGGGCACCCTCTCCTTCCACAGCTACCTGCTCTCTCTCTGCCTAGGGTCCAGTCCTTCCCCCAGAGCTCACAGCTGACCCGGGAGACTGTGCGGACCCTTATGAGCTACGCCCTGACCGCCTGGGCTGTGGAGTCTGACCTCACATTCCAGGAGGTGTCCTCTCAGCATCAGGAGCCTGACATCCTCATCGACTTCTCCCGGGGCTACCACCTAGACAGTTACCCCTTTGATGGGCTGGGTGGCACCTTAGCCCATGCCTATTTCCCCGGGGAGCACCCCATCTCTGGGGATACTCACTTCGATGATGAGGAGATCTGGACATTTGGGTCAAAAGGTAAAATGTCCCATATTTAAAGAGGTCCTCTCCCCAGATCTGCCTGTCCTAATGGACAAGTTTTAAACTAATTGATTGATGGAGCCTGAATCAGTAAGGTGTCTCCAGAGAAACAGCAGTAGCAAGTGTGTGTGGAGTGAGTGTGTGATGAGATTTGTCTTAAGGAATGGGTTCACAGGGATGACTGGGGCAGAATTCCTTCCCCCTAAAACCCTCTGTTTCCTTTGTTTGTTTTTTTCCCCTCTATTTTTGCTGTTACATGCTGAACTGATTGGACCTGGCTCACTTACCTGTAGGATAATTGCTTTACCTTAAGCATGTCTCCAAAACACCTTTGCAGCAATATCTGGACTGGTGTTTGATCAAACCATTGGGCACCGTGGCATGGCCAAATTGATACATAAAATCAGTCACCAGCGAGGCCTATTGGTGCCTGGCTCTGGGTGGGACTGACCAGAGAGTCAAAACAACTTCTTTGTCCTATAGCTAAGGAGGAAGAGTAACTTGCAATTACTACACATGATGACACAACTGCTGGAAATCTCAGCAGAGGAAGTCGTGCAATTGCAAGTGCTCAGGGGAGGTGTCAGCCCAAAAGTCTAGGGTGAGAGGAAGCGTTGTCAGAGACGACAGCACGACTCTTCATTCAGTATATATACCCTCACTCATGGTGAGCAGTGCAGGCTAGAGGACATGGCCCTGTTCTCCTGGGGCACACACTGAGGGGGACAAACAGTGAGAAAGTACAAGCCAGTGAGCTACCCAAGTGCCAGTCAGGAGGAGCCACCAAGGGCCTGCATGCCCAGGACACTTTTTCTGGAAGGCAAATATATGGTAGTGGGAGGGAGCCCATACAAAAGATCTTGGTTTTTTGTTTTGTTTTGTCTTTTTGATACAGAGTCTCACAATGCAGTGCAGGCTGGCCCTGAGCTCACTTTATAGCTGCAATTTGCAATGATCTTCCTGTCTCAGCCTCCCAAGTGCTGGGATTACAGGCATGTGCCACCATGCCCGGCTGTGTTTCTGTTTTTGATATTGTTTTTGTTTTTTGAGACAGGTCTTGCTATATATGGTCTTGAAGTCAATATGTAGCTCAGGCTGGCCTCACTTGAAGTGAGCCTCCTGCCTGGCCTCCGGAGTGCTGGGATTATAGGCGTGTATCATCATGCCTGGCATCAGAAAGGATTTAGGAAAGAAAGGGTGAGGATTTGGTCAGGTTCTGAAGGCAATGGGAATCCATCACATGGCTGTGTATTCTAAAAATATCTCTGGATCCAGAGGGGAAGGTGGATGGTGGCAAGGAGGCAAGAGTTACTGTTTGGCTCAGGTAACAGACCAGGTGGGTAATGGTGGAGAGGATAGATGCGAGGGAAGTCATTTAGGATGGCCAAAGATTGGGATCTGGTAGGATCCTGGGGACAAGGGATGGAGGGGGGAGATGATGTCAGGGTCCAGCTTAGGATTCTGGAGGTTGCTTCTGCTGATGTGCATGAGGGGAAGGTGGCCTGAAGGCAGATTTAGATGGATGTTTGCAGGACACAGATGCTCTGCGTAAGTGGCACAAGCACTGACTTATTTGCACTAGACCGTGGACTTTACTGTCCTAAGTCAGGTTTCCAGAAGTGGAGCTCCAGCTTGCAGTTCTTAGGCAAACAATTTTTCAGGAGCATGTGCGGAGGGGGAGAGAAGCAGGAGAGGATAGAGGGCTGAGCAAGGATGTGGTCTGTGCTGGGGAGGAGCCTGGTCTCCCAGCACTGCAGAGCATAGGCCAGCTCTTTCTGGTACCCTATGGCACAGTCACTGGCTGTGGGCTGCTAAAGGTGGAGAGGCTCAGCCATAGCTGGTGGCCAGTCCTGTCAGTATGTCACAGACTGCATCCACAGTGTGGCACATGCTACACCATTAAGCAGGTTGGTTCCTACATTTTTGTTAATGAATTAATTTTTGTATGCTAGGGATCAAACCTAAGGTCTCACCCATGCTAACCAAGCCCCCCCCCCGCTTTTTTTTACTAAGTTACACCCACAGTCCAAGCATGTGAACTTTTTTTTTTTGTCTTTTTCCTTTTTATCGGTACCAGGGATCGAACTCACAACTGCCTGCTTTCAAGGCAGGCGCTTATGCCGCTGAGCTAAACCCCCAGCCCCAGCATGTGAATTTTTAAACAAAATTTATTTATTTATTATGTGACCTTTGAACCTGAATCAGGTCACTTGTAGTATGCTGGGCATAGAGGTTGAGCCAGGAGGATTGCTGTGAATTCGAGGCCATCCTGGACTACAGTTCGAGACCCTGTCTCAAAACAAAACAGAATATCACTTGTAGTACATACAAGTTACTGATGTTCACTTCTCCACTGAGATGAAAATAGTGCCTGATGGCAGCACGACTTGCAAATTAGCCAGGTGATTCACCCACAACCCTTTACTCTGGTCCAGAGTGGTGGTCTCCATGGTGCCAGCCACTATCAGACTGGATTTGGGGGCAGATTTTAGAGTTGAAGGGGCCTATGGTAAGGTCACTGGGAGAACCATGTAGCATGCAAAGGTCAAGTACAGTGACCTACAGCAGCCCACAGCTAAGAGGCAGGCAGATGGGGAGGAGAAACTAACAGAGATGGAGAATGAATAGGCCAAAGGTAATGAAGAACAAGAGTAAAGGAGGAAGTGGTCAGTGATGGCCAGCACAGGAAACAAGTCCAGTAAATGACACAGGCCTGAGTGTGGTCATCCAGGTACCAAGTGATTTTTTTTCTTTCTTTTTTTTTTTTTTTTTGTAGTGGCAATTGAACCCAGGTCCTTTACACTGAGCTACATCCCTGGCCCTTTTTATTTTTTTATTTTGAGACAGGGTCTGGCTAGGTCATGAAATTGCTGGGTCACAGCTTCAAGGAATGGAGGCTGAGAGGACAGTGCAAAGGAGCAGGCAATCTCTGCAGCTGGCTGGGGCAGAGAGCAGGGATGAGAGGAGGGACCAGCCACCCTCCCCCAGCCCCAGCGTGAGATCATATAATTTCCCAAGCTGCATAGCCTGAGAGGGTGTGGGATGGGGGTTGCTTACCCGGAAGCCTCATGCTGGTAAAGGAAAGCCAATTCAAGGAAGGAAGACTAGAGAAGAGATCAAACTGACTGAAACTACAACCTTCCTCTGACTTCTCAGAAGAATTCAGAGTACTAAGAAGACAAAGTCAGAACGGAAGTCCACAACACATGCAGTTTGAGTAGGGACTGTCCAGGGCAGGATACACAGCTGAGAGCTGCCTTCAGTCCCAGCTCTGCCTCCCACCTTGCTTGCTCTTGTGCCTCAGTTTCCGTCTGTGTAGATTGAGGATAAGAGGTAAGGGCTTGAGGTAAAGAGCCCAAGTGTTTGCTAATCCTTTTAGAACTTGCCTAATTATTTCACTCTTAGTGTCAGCTATCAGCCACAAAGGCCAAAGGAAAAGTGCTTTAATATACCAGGTAATTTCCAATAATCCTACTTCCAGTGTTGATGACCCTAGAGATTTCCACAGACAAGATCAGTATCTTTTAAAAACCTATGCTCTGTGGGTTTTACTCAGCTCCGTCATTGTCTGGGTCTTCTCGGTGGGGTCTCTCTCCCAGCTAGAGCCAGATCCTGACTGATGAAGATCTGGCCTTCTCCAGCAGCCTGAAGAGGCTCTGTACTGGCCCCAGGGTTGGGTCCTAAGGGAAGAGACTGCTATGGTGGGAAGAGGCTGGGCGCCACTGCAACAAGCTGTGGTCTGTGAGTGCTTGCAGGAGGGAGCTCAGTGTTCTCCATCAGGAGATGCAGGGCATGGAGGAAGGCCAGCAGGGGGAGGGGGAGGATCCCTGGGAACAGATAGGGTGGCTGTGGCCAGAGCAGCTGGGGGAGGGGTGAAGGATGTGGAGAGGTGGGTGGAGAAGGGGAGGGAAGGAGAGAGGAAGTGGGAGGTCCACAATATTGAGATGAGGAAATGGTGGGGGTCTCTATCAACTGGAACCAAGAAGACAGCTCCAAAGACAGGAGTTTCCTGGAGAAACTGCATACACTGGGGGTTTCTGTCCCCCAAGTTTCTCTATGCACAGTTTTCCTTTTCTAGGGAGTGACTAGCATAAGGTCAGCCTGCCTGTGTCCAGTTTATGGGTTACTTTAGCCCTAACCCAAGTGTCAGCACTGTCAAACAGGGCTACCTAAAAATATTTGAGTGGGTGAAGGAATATAGGAATGATGACATGACTCAAGGAGGGGTCAAGGCCACAGAGGCCTGGGTCCTCTCCAAGAGTCTTTTGGCTGCTCCTGGTGGCCAGCAGGCTCTGCTCCCCAGCTTCCCTTCCTGGTGCCAGTTGGCCTTGGCTCCAGCCCACTCTCCCCTTCTCCAGATGGTGAGGGCACTGATCTGTTTGCTGTGGCAGTTCACGAGTTCGGCCATGTCCTGGGCCTGGGTCACTCCTCTGCACCCAACTCCATTATGAGGCCCTTCTACCAGGGCCCGGTGGGAGACCCACACAATTACCGCCTGTCCCAGGATGATCGCGATGGCCTGCAGCAGCTGTATGGTATGGCAAGTGGGGGGCCTACTCTGAATCAGCTCTACTGTGGCTTTCCCTTGGTCTCTACCACAGACTCATAAGGCCCACAAAACCCACACCTGTGTGACTTTATCCTTGCAGGGAAACCGTCCCAGACCACAAGTGACAAGCCCACAAGGAAACCCCTGATTCCTTCTCCCCAGCCCCCAGCCCTGCCCCCTGACAGGTGAGTCTCCTACCAGCTGTGTGAACCAGGATGACCAGCTCCCCAGCCTCAGTGCCCACCAGGAGACGGGGATTGTGGTCAAGGGCGTGGAAGGGCCCCAGGCTCTGCTCACTGGCTTTCCCTCCCCAGCCCCTCCACACCTGTCCCTGATAGATGTGAGGGCAATTTTGACGCCATTGCCAACATTCGAGGTGAAACTTTCTTCTTCAAAGGTGAGTGGCTTTAGATGGCCCCTGCCCCTTATATTTGGCTTCCTACCCATTTAAGAATGACTCTTCCCCTCATGATGGGAGGTTTTCTGGGAAGTGAGACTTTGGTTTCTTTTTTTTTTTTTTTTTTGTCTTTTTCCTTTTTATCCGTACCAGGGATAGAACTCACAACTGCCTGCTTGCAAGGCAGGCGCTTATGCCGCTGAGCAAAATCCCCAGCCCCGGAAGTGAATCTTTGGGTGTTAAAAAAAAAAGGCCGGAGATTTAGCTAAGTGGCATAAGCGCCTGCCTGGCAATCCTGAGGTCATGAGTTCCATCTCCAGTACCAAAAAGAAAAGAAAAGAAAAGAAAAGAAAATCTCAGGTAGGCCACTGAGGAGTGGTCACCCTGGATCCATGTGCCCTGGATTTCTAGGAGCACACCCCCACCTCTACCAGCACCCAAGACCTGGCCCGCCCCCAGGCAGCGTGTGGGACAGGGCCTGCTACCATGCCATGGCCCCATGCCCTCCCCTTCACCTGCAGGCCCCTGGTTTTGGCGCCTCCAGCCCTCAGGACAACTGGTATCCCCCCGTCCTGCCCGGCTGCACCGCTTCTGGGAGGGACTGCCCAGTTACGTGAAGGTCATTCAGGCCGCCTATGCCCGCCACCAAGACGGCCGAATCCTCCTCTTCAGCGGTGAGCGCAGGTTGGAGGTGCCAGGGAGCTGCGGGCAGGTGGGCGGGGGCCCCGTGCTGACCACGCGCCCCCGCTCCAGGCTCCCAGTTCTGGGTGTTCCGCGACCGGCAAGTGGAGGGCGTCGCGCAGCCGATCACGGTGCTGGGGCTGCCTGCGGGTGAGGAGGTTGACGCCGCGTTCTCTTGGCCGCTTAACGGGAAGACCTACCTGATCCGGGGCCAGCAGTACTGGCGCTACGACGAGGCGGCCGCGCGCCCGGACCCTGGCTACCCGCGCGACCTGAGCCTCTGGGAAGGGGCGCCCCCCTCTCCGGACGATGTCACCGTCAGCAATGCAGGTGGGGGAACACAGGGCGAGAGGCTGCTGGAGCTTCTGAGTTACCGGCCCTTGGGGCTGGGGTTTGGGTCAGGAGTTAGGGGTCCAGTGTAGGATGGCAGAGGACCTGGGAAGAGGAGGGGCGCGATTGGGACAGGTCTGGACCAGATTCCTAAAGTGTGTCCTCCCCGCCAACAGGTGACACCTACTTCTTCAAGGGCGTCCACTACTGGCGATTTCCCAAAGGCAGCGTCAAGACCGACCCAGACTCGCCCCAGCCCATGGGGCCCGAGTGGCTGGACTGTCCTGTCCCAGATTCTGGTCCTCGAAGGCCTATACCTCCCAAAGCAACCCCCAAGTCCGAAACCTGCGATTGTCCCTGCAACCTCAATCTGGCCCCAGGGCAGCTGCCCAAGCCCCTCCTGCTGCTCTTCCTGCTCCTGTTGGTGGGAGAGGTCTCCTCCTGCTGAGGGGGCCATCCAGAGCCGAGCAGCCCCACGCCCACCGCGGGACCAGTGTGGGGTTGTGAGCCACTGCCAAGCCCCAGGGTGCATTTCCACGGCCGGTAGAGTCTCTGACGTGGGAAGAGCGGTGCAGCCTGGACCTGACTACCCACCCACCTGCTCCGCTTGTGCCCTTGGCAGCGCTGGAGGACACCGGCAGGCTGGAGTCCGTCGCCAGGAGGCGCACGCACCCAGTGGCCGTAGTCCCCCGGCCCTCCGCAGTCGGCCTGGGCCTCCGAAACCGCCAGGGGACAGTGCAGACCCTCTCTCCAGATCCCAAAAGGAACAGGACGCAGTGAGCTCGGTTAGAGGGCGTGGCGAGAGCTCCAGCAGAGCTGTTGGATTGGACGCAGGACGTCCTCTCGGCGGTTCGCAAGAAGGGGACTCTGTCCTGGGCACGATGACCCAGCAGGACTCACCGTTTCCCGGAACAGCCCGGCTGTTTCAGAACACAGTCTGTGGACTCTCCCCAGCCTCCCACCCCCACCCTATTGGGACTGTGCCTAGTATCTGATTGAGCCTTTAGCTGAAACATCAGATCAGGACACTGAGTTGCACCTCTTCATACCTGCTCTGTGTCTTCAAACCTATTTGGTCTTGTCTCCCTGTTTGGCTTCTACTGTTAGGGAAAACAAACCAAACACGGGAAGAAACGGCACTGAGAAGGTTTAGGAGGCAGCTTATTACACTGGTGGGCTTGACTGGGTTTGCTTCCAAAGAGTCAGAGGCCTGCCTGGCTGGGTTCTGGGACTTTTATGGGAAGAACGGAGGTACAAAAATAGATTTGGCACATTGTGATTGGAGGGTTAGGAGATATCTTGGGTTGGTAAGGGAGTATAAACATTTCAGGTTATGGCTGGGGATTTAGCTCAGTGGCATAAGTGTCTGCCTGGCAAGTGCAAGGTTGTGAGTTCAATCCCCAGTACTGAAGAAAAAAAAAATTGCAAGGCCATCAGTTATACAAAAAGGTAGCAAAGATGGGTTACACAAAGGAAGAGAGAAATGTTCTGTTATCAGACCTGTCCAAATGTGTTTGCCTGTCCGGACATGTTTGCTTTATTTAAAAATTTAATTTCCCCCTCACTACTACATCCCACTAATCACTCTAACCCCAGAGCATAAGGCCTAGGAACCACCCAAAACCCAGCAACCTCCTAAAATGAGCATCTTCTCCATGCCCTTGGTAAAGTACCACAATTTGGCTCTAGAACAACTTGGCTACTATAGGCTCAGGGCTACTAGTGGACAGATTCTGCTCAGCCCCGCCTCCTTAGCACCCTTGGCCAGCCTTACAGGTAATTCTAGGTTAAGGAATAGATGAGGCCTAGGACACCTCATCACCTCTACTCCCCAGATTCAGAAGCATCATTGCTTCTGGAATATTCCATATCAGAACTCACCCATGAAAATTAAAAATGTAGATCCCGTACCTGCACCCTGAATCCTGATTTGGGATGAAGTTAGGAATCTGCATTTTAAGCATCTTGGGTGGGCCAGAGATTTAGCTCAGTGGCATGAGCACCTGCCTGGCAAGTGCAAGGTTGTGAGTTTGATCCTGGTACAAACAAACAAACAAAAAAAACCAAGAAGCTTGGGCAGGATGTGTGCCCTGATAGCCAAGGAAGCTGGCTGTCTCATGGCATCGCTGTGGCCTCCCTCCCAGGTGCTAGTCTCTTCCTGTATTCTCTACGGGGCCAGGCGGATGGCCTTGGTTGAGAGGTGTCCATTCCCCTCAGAGTTGAGTCACTTAGAGGACCACTTTGTGTTTAGGTAACTTTTTTTTTTTTTTTTTTTTTTTGTACCAGGGATTGAAATCATGACCTCAGCCTGCCAGGCAGGTGCTTATGTCACTGAGCTAAATCCTCAGTCGCAAGGACTACTTTTTTAGGGTTCTGCCTAGTTCCACTGGTGCCAAAATCCTTTGGGGGATCCCAGACCATGGACAGCACTTCAAGAAACCAGGAAAAGTTAGCCCCACTTGTTCCTGACCCCTAGGTCAGCATGAGAAGAGTCAAGCCTCCTCCACCAGTTTATGATCTGATGAATCTAAGCCACTTGGAAGCCATGTGGTCCTCTATCGGCTTCCTTCCAAGTAGGAGGAGAGGGAAACAGCCCCACTCTGGAGAATAAAACTAGAAAAAGCTCTTCGTTTCTTCTGAGCACTGAAGGTCCTGGGTGAAGTTTGGTGGCAGTAACTGGACAGACATGAACTGCTCTGTTTTGCAGAAGCTGGAATGAATCCAGGGTTCTTCAGAGCAGGGAGTATTGAAGTAGAAAGAAGAGGAAGCAGCAGAGGGAGAAACCAAAAGTTGATTGAGGGGAAGCCCAGAGGAAAGCTGAGAAACCAAGATGTTTTCATGGCTACATATAGACTCCAGTCAGTACTTTATTGCCTACTACACAAAAACATACCAGAATGATTACTGTTATTTTCAGCATGGTACAGTAAAAACATGGTACAATCCCACAACCAAGATCAAAATTTGCTTTGTGTTTCGAAGGATACTATCAGGAACTTGTAAGTCAACTCAAAGCATGGGAGATATTTGATTTTATATATCTTATCGGAGACATATCCAAAATAAATAACATCTTTCCTTTAACTTTTTTTTTTTTATCAGTACCAGGGATTGAACTCATGACCACCTGCTTGCAAGGCAGGTGCTTATGCCACTGAGCTAAATCCCCAGCCCCGAAATAACATCTTAATAATAAAAAGACAGCCAAATTAAAAGTGGGTAAAGAGCTGAGTATACATTCTTTCCAGATAGAAAAAGGTTGATTAGGGGCTGCAGATTTACCTCAGCGGCATAAGCACCTGCCTTGCAAGCAGGCAGTTGTGAGTTTGATCCCTGGTACCGATAAAAAGGAAAAAGACAAAAAAAAAAAAAAAAAAAAAAGGAAAAAAAGAAAAAGGTTGATTAGCACATAAAAAAGATTCTAGAGCATCATTAGTTATCATGGAAATGTAACTCAGAAATATAATGGGAGCTGGGCATGATGATGCATATCTATAATCCAGAATTTTGAGAGGCTGAGGCAGGAGGATTACAACTTTGAGCCCAACCTGGACAACTTAGTAAATTAGTGAGATTCTATCTCAGGGAAAAAAAAAAAAAAACTTACAAGGCTTGGGAATGTAACTTAGTGCTATAACTTTGGGTTTCATCTCTGGTACTGCACAGTTAAATTTACTAGTATGTCTACAATTAAATAAATGAATAATAGCAGACGTTGATGAAGAGATAGAGTAACTGGAACTCTCACACCTTGCAGCTGGTAATGGAATGTGGTATAGACACTGTGGAGAAAAGTCTGACTATTCCTCAAAGCCTGAAAGATAGTTGCCCTCTGATTCAGCAGTTCACTCCTAGGTCCACACCCAACAAAAATGAAAAGCCCATTTTTTTTTTCCTTTGGTACTGAGAGTTGAACTCAGGGCCTTAACACTTGTCAGGCAGGTGTTATAGCCCTGAGCTACATCCCCAACCTAAGTCACCCTCACAGAAATGTATGCATGAAGCCCAACATGGTGGTACATGACTGTAATCCCAGTGTAACTGGGTTGAGTTTTGTTTGTCAATGTTTTTTTAAAGACAGGATCTCAATACAGATATTTCTCATTTAATGACCTACTTGTTTAACTACTGTTTGAATTTATGACCAAAGCATGCTGTTAAACTTACAACTCACTGTTCAGACTTACGCCTTTTTTTTTACATTTCTGTAAATTTTAGTTTTTTTGAGACAGGGTCTCACTATGTAGTACAGGCTGGCCTTTAACTCACTTATGTAGCCCAGGCTGCCTTTAACTCATGACAATCCCACTCCCTCAGCCTCTCAGCACGTCTGGCTGAACATCTTGTTTACAAAGCCTCAATGTCTTTTATCATATAGTACATTTTGTTTATACAGTACTGTAATTCTTGCTGATTGCACTGTATAGTGCAGAACTGTAGTTTAATGTTGTTATACATTACAGTACTGCATGTAAGTTAAATAAAAGCAAAGTCATCAAGTTAGAGTTTTTTTTGATCATTTCCTTGTTGTGAATATTGTAATATACATGCTATATACATTTTCTCATTTAGAGAACAATTCATTGAACAACTTAATAGCAAAAGCATAATTCAGCTGTTAAATAAGAGTGTCTGCATACAGTTCAGGCTGGCCTCAAACTCACAGTGATCTTCCTGCCTCAACCTCCAGAGTACTAGGATTATAGGCGTACCCCAATACACCTGGTTTTTGTGGTCTTTTTTTTTTTTTTTTTTGTCTTTTTCCTTTTTATCGGTACCGGGGATCGAACTCACAACTGCCTGCTTGCAAGGCAGGCACTTATGCCACAAGCTAAATCCCCAGCCCCTTTTGTGGTCTTTTTGTTTGTTTTGGGATTTTGTTTGGTTTGCTTTTTGAGAAAGGGTTTCACTGTCTAACTCAGGCTGACTTTCAGTTCAGTATGTAGCCCAGGTTGGCCTCGAACTCAAAGTGATTCTCCTGCCTCAGCCTCTCAAAGGCTGTGGTTACAGGTGTGTGTCACGACAGCAGGCTTCTCCAGGATCTTGTCTTAAGCAAAGACTTGAGCAAGACATCTAAGAGTAGCAATAAGAGTAAAGATTTATGTGAAAGCTCATGTTTGTGCCATTGTTGGCAGGAAACCCATACCAGCAGGGTGCTGGCCTCCAATTCATGCAGAAGCTGGGAAGTCTGGTGGGGTTAGGGCCTAGACTAAATGCCCTCGGTGATCTAGATCCTAAACAAGTTCTATCTTCCTCACGTGAAGCAGGAATTACATCCCAAATTCTGGGGTATCTCTGGCTGCTTCATAGAAGACAGAGTTCAGGTGCCAAGAAGCCCAAGTTGTCCTTTGGAAACAAGGTACTTAGACGGTCTGAAGGAATGCTGGTGTGACTGCAGAAGTTGTGGTAGGAGGGACTGTTTCCCTGTGCTCTTCTCCAGCCCTAACATTCCTTCCTGGGTCACCTCTCACCTGGGCACAGAGAGGGTGCTGGAAACACAGGTCTAGAACCTTCTGAGGAGTATGCATCCCTGAAAGTCCTATGTATGGTGAGTGAGTGTGCAAGTGCCTGGGTATGAGGGAGCATGGAAATAGCTTGACTCAGGGCAGAGAAGTGAAAGAACATCACAGAAGACCCAATTGTCACTGCTCTTTCCACAGGTCAGAAATGGTCCCTTGTTGGGGGTGTAGATCAGTGGCAGAGCATTTGTCTAGTCTATTCAAGGCCCTGGGCTCAAGTCCAGACACACACACACCCCCTAGAGGCTGTCAGGTCCGACATGATAAGGTAGTGCCCATGTGCACTCAGGGTGATGAATAAATGGTTGGGGTTCCCAGCCCATGATGCTGAGGAGGCTCCCATTTACCTGGCACTCAGGACTGAGAAGGGTCAGGCCCTGTGACCCCAACTCTTGCAACTCTTCACATCTCCAGGATGGAGGCAACTGGGTTGATTATACAAGGGATGATGTAATGGCTTATATCTAGATGGCCCCCCAAAACCTCATGGGATCACAGGTGGGACTTTTTGGAGGTGGCTAGATTTAGGGTATCTGAGTATGGATTAAGAGTGTGTAATAATGAAATTAGTCCACTGACTGGTTTAGCATAGTTCTGGGTTTGGCTGGATGGATTTACAGAAAAGGGAACCCCCCCTGCAAGCAGGTGGCACCAACCTATAGGCTTGTAGCCTGGATGGAATAGAAAGTAACAGAAAGGGGCTGGAGTTTTAGCTCAGCAGCATAAGCCCCTGCTTGGCAAACATGAGTTTGATTCCCTAGTGGGGCGCGCGGGGGGGGGGGGGGGCACAAAAGGAAGGCAGGTTTGCAGCTAATTCTTTTGCTGCCCTCTGCTGGCCATGAACTACTTCTCTTCTGTTGTGTCCCCCCCCTATGCCTCCCTGCTTTGGAGCCAGCTGACTGTGAACTGAAGCCTATACAAGCTGTAAGCTGAAATAAATCTTTCGTCTTTTAATTTATGGGTGTTATCGAGAGAAACCACCAGCTGAGTGAAGAGACAACCCACAATGTGGGAGAAAATATTTTCCAGCTGTAACTCATGCAAAGGATTGCTACTGAGAACATGTAAATAACTCAAAACAAAACAAAAACAAACAAAAAAACCCAGTCCTAAATTTAAAGAAATAAATATGTGAAAAAATGTTCAATATCACTAGGTCATTCAAGAGATGCAAATTAAAATAACACTGAAATTCCACCTCATCCTGGAAAGAATGGCTACTATTAAGAAGTCAACCAATAACAAATGCTGGAGGGGCTGTGGGGGAAAAGGAACCCTTCTCCATAGTTGGTGGGAGTGCAGAGTGATGCAACCACTATGGAAATCAGTGTGGGGATTCCTCAAAAAAAAAAAAAAAAAAAAAAAAAAAAAAAAGCTAGGAGTAGCATTCACATTTGACCCAGCTATTCCCCTTCTGGGTATCTTCCCAAATAATTAAAAATCTCATGTCACAGTGACATATGCGCATCCATGTTTATAACAGCACAATTTGTAATAGTTAGATTTGGAAACAACCTAAATGCCCATCTACTGAAGAATGGATAAAAAAGGTGGTATTTTTTACAATGGAGTACTTCTCAGCCATCAGAAGTATAAACTGGAGACTTTTATAGGTAAATGGGTGCAACTTGAGACCATACTCATAAGTGTATGTGTACACACGTGTAAACATCATGTTGTCTCACTAGTGTGAGAAGCTGAAAGAAATAATATATGTACATGTATAAAATAATATATAAAAATAATATATAAAAATAATATATATATAAATATATATTAAATATATATTATTTATTTAATAATATATATTAAATAAATAATATATATAAAATAAAATATATAAAAATAATATATATAAAAATAATATATGTACATGTATATCTGTATATAAAAAAGATAGTTGGGCTGGGGATTTAGCTCAGTGGCATAAGCACCTGCCTGGCAAGTGCGAGGTCGTGAGTTCGATCCCTGGTACCACGGGAAAAAAAAAAAAATAGTTACACTACTCATTTCTCTAAGTTCACTGAAGAAAAAGATTTGTAATGGTATTTTTCTGACAACTGAACACAGATGCTTTGTGCTTTGGGTGAGTGATTTGGGAATGACAATGCACAATGTACGCACCATTGTTGCCCCTGAATTTTTTTTTCTCTTTGAAATAAAATGTATTTGAAAAAAAATGTATTTGAAAAAAAAATAAGTTGTGGAAATTGGATATTTTTTCCAGCAATGAAAAAGTAACTGAGATAGGTGATCAAAAGCTATAGTGCATTTATTGTATCTTTTGATTGCACAAAGTATAAAAGACCAGTATAAAAGAATGGACAGGTGGGTCACTTTGGCATCAAGCTACAGAGCACAGGTCTCACTCTTAGCTTCTGCATAGGAGATGGGGTGGATTCCCTGTGAAGGTGGCAGTCACTTCACAGAGACCTGCAGCCCAGCAACCTCCCAGTTTGCACCATGTGACAGTGACGGTCCCAGTGGGAATATGTCTGCCCAGAGAGCTTGGGGAGGGGTTCCTGTCCTGCAGTATATTGAAGATATGACAGGGATTCCATGCTTGTGGCCCCATGGAAACTGGATAAGGAGAAAGTATCAAGGCTGAGAGCAGTCAGAGGCTTGAGGCTGTGCCACTTGAACCTTGTGACTCTTTTCTTCAGGGAGTATGAGCAGAGGTTTTGTGACAAGCAGCAATAATTCTGAGATATGCTGCAGAAAGTGAAGAGGAGGCATTTGAGGCATGAGCTCAGCATGCTGGGTGCTGTGTCAAGTGCAGCGATGTGGGGTCAACTCCGGCAGGTTCTTCCTGCGAGTGTAAGGAGCTCAGCAGGGACTGGGTGCCAGAGTGTGGTGCTACCAAGGACGCTCTGCCTGGCAAGGGTGAGGTCCTGAATTTGATTCCCAGTACCAGAGTAAATTCTTACCTCTGGATTTTGTTCTTTCTTTTTTTTGGTACCGGAGATTGAACTCACAACCTCGCACTTGCCAGGCAGCTGCTTATACCACTGAGCTAATTTTTTTAAATGATTTTTTTTTTTTTTTTTTTTTTTTTTGTCTTTTTCCTTTTTATCGGTACCGGGGATCAAACTCACGACTGCCTGCTTGCAAGGCAGGCGCTTATGCCGCTGAGCTAAATCCCCAGCCCCAAATGACTTTTTTATTAGTACACTTTATAGTGTACAAATATAGTGATCATTCATACTTATCATAGAAAATGTGTACCTGTACATGATATAACTTGATTCTTTTTTTTTTTTTTTTTCGTCTTTTTCCTTTTTTTATCGGTACCAGGGATCGAACTCACGACTGCCTGCTTGCAAGGCAGGTGCTTATGCCGCTGAGCTAAATCCCCAGCCCCTATAACTTGATTCTTTTCCCATTTCCCCTACCTTCAACCTCTCTTCCTCTCCCCATTTCCAAAAGCTTTGCTTCCATTTTTCTCTTTTTAGCTTTTGCTAGTTTCTTTGTTTTTATTTTTTTGAGACTGAGTCTCACTATATAGTGCAAGCTAGCATCTAACTCACAGTGATCCTCCTCCTTCAGCCTCCAGGTACCGGGACTACAGGAATGTGCCACCATGAATGGCAGGGTTTTGCTTTGCTTTGTTTTTTATTTTTTATTTATTTATTTATTTTTTGGTCTTTTTATCGGTACCAGGGATCGAACTCACGACTGTCTGCTTGCAAGGCAGGCGCTTATGCCACTGAGCTAAATCCCCAGCCCCTGTTTTTTATTTTTTGTTAGCAGTAATTAAAACTCAAGACTTCATATTTGCTGGGCAGATGCTGTGCTGCTAAGCTATATCCCTGGCCCCAGGTTTTCTTTTTTGAGACAGGGTTTTGCTAGTTGCTCAGGCTGGATTTAAAGTCAAGGACTCAAACTGTGCTCCCAATACATGATGGTATGTTGCTTTCTGACACAGAACCTCTTGGACTTGTCCCCATGAATAAGTCTCCCAAAGCAGGGCAAAGTATGGTCCACCTACTTGGTCCAGAATGAAAGTCTGATGAGGGAAGATGTGATGGTCAGATCCTGGGGAATGGGGCCATGACTTGACTGTCCTGGGACCCCAGGAAGAAGGTGGAGAGCCTGGGTGCCAGATCTGTGGGAAGAGGATATTGGAGGGAGGTGCCTGACCTGGGGTTCTGGAACTGGTGGTGAGGGGCTTGGGTACCTGGAGGTCTGGGAATTGGGGCATTTTTGCACCTATTCTCCTCTCCAACCCTTTCTGTCAAAGGTGTTAAACAATTATCCCAGCTGAGAGTCTCCTATGGAATGGCTAGACAATGACTCTCTCTCAGTGATTTTGTGGTGGCCCTGTTCATCTGGAAGGACCCTGTTTACTCCAGCAGTGCAATGAAGAGAGGAGATCCCCCGGAGAGTGTTTTTTTGGACCCTCCTGACCCCAGCCCCTTCTTCCTGGAAATAAGACAGCCCAATCTGGGGGCTTGCTGTATTTATTTTGTATTTATTTTCCTCCTGCCAGTACTGGAGATTGAACCCAGGGCATTCTCACTGAGTTACATCTCTGACCTTTTTTATTTTATTTTTTTATTTTGAGGCAAGGTCTAAATTGCTAAGTTGCCCAAACTGTACTTGGACTTTAGATCTTCCTCCTTCAGCCTCCAAGGGGACCTTGGATTACTGGTACAGACCACCATGCCTGACCTTTGAGTGACCATTTTTCCTGCAAAGACCATGTGCAACCCTCCCCCTTTTAATCCTCACACCGTGGTATTAATTTTTTTTTTTTTTAAGACAGAATCTTACTATGTAGAAATTCAGGCTGGCCGGGCTGGAGATTTAGCTCAGTGGCATAAGCGCCTGCCTGGCAATCGCAAGGTCATGAGTTCAATCCCCGGTACTTAAACAAATAAATGAATAAATAAAATTACCCATCACAGTCCTTTAAAAAAAAAAAGAAATTTAGGCTGGCCATAAATTCCCTGTGTAGCCCAGGCTGTTTTTGACATTGAGCCTGCTGCCTCTGTCTCCAGAATGCGAGGATTACAGGTATAATCCTGTTCCTTTAGAGAGAAAGGCCCACATCTGGCTTTTGTCCTGTCTACTGAACACTTCTGCCCTGGTTTCAAGGGGCTGCCCGATACTAGACCCTAGCCCAGCCTTTCTCATCCTTGGCCATGAGCTTGGTTCTCCTGGCTGCCACTTTTCGAGTTTTTTTCCCCTTGTCCCCTGCGCTTTTCCAGTGATCCTTATCACAGCTCCACTTACCCCTCCTTACATAGCCCTGCTTGGCTTCTTACCTGAAACTTGCCTATCATACGGAGGTCACCATCATAATCCCTGGCAAGTGATGTGGCTTCTTAGCTGTTCTGCCTTTGTCTTTCTCAAACCACTTCCATGCAGCAAAAGGCCTAAATGATTTTATTGGTAGAAACAAAATCATGGGCCATGGATTTAGCTCAGTGGCATAAGTGCCTGCCTGGCAAGTGCAAGGTTGTGAGGTCAATCCCTGATATCAAAAAAAAAAAAAAGAAAGAAAGAAAGAAAGAAAGAAACAAACAAAATCATCCTCTGCATCAAAACCTCAGCATGTCTTCCTGTACATAACACCCCCTTTCCCTAGCCTGTCAGACCTCAGCAAGCCAGGGCTCTGCCTTTCCAGGACTTTCATAAATGCTGTTCTTTCTGCCAAGGATCTTGCTGTCTTTTTTTGTTTTGTTTTTTTCTTTTCTTTTCTTTTTTTTTTGTCTTTTTCGTTTTTATTGGTACCAGGAATCGAACTCACGACTGCCTGCTTGCAAGGCAGGCGCTTATGTCGCTGAGCTAAATCCCCAGCCCCTTTGTTTCTTTTTTGAACCAGGATCTTGTTTTGTAGTTCATGCTGGTCTTGAACTCTTGAACTCACTAGGTATCTCAGCCTGGCCTCAAAGTCATGGTGATCCTCCTGCCTCAGCCACCAAATGCTGGGACTACAGGTGTGGTCACCATACCTAGCTAAATCAATCTGTTCCGTGACATCTGGTAATGTCTGTACCCAATTCTCCTGTGAACCCCAAAAGGTTAGACCTTCCAGGGGCTCAGAGCTTTCCTGTCTACTATGCCCAAAAATTATCTCTAGCTTAATGGTATATCATGTGTCTAGCCAAGCAATGTATCAGGACCCTGTTACCGTGTGAGGGATTTACCAGGTACATCCAGGCTCTTAGGTTTGATGAGCAACAAGTTAACTGCAAGTGAACACCAGACAGCAGGTGGAAAACAACAACATTTATAGATCACAGGAAGTCATGCTCAGTGCAGGTCCATCCCAACAGAAGGCATGGCATGAACAGAAAAGTGGTGCTGGGGTTACAGAAAAGCAAAAGCTCTGCACACAGCACACAGCAGCATTCCTCAGGTAAATCAAGCATTTGGAATCAAAAGGATATGCACCTTAGCCCTGTCTTCTCAGAATTCACTCCGATCTCAATTACACGTATGCACACACCTGTAATCCCAGCACTTGGGAGGCTGAGGCAAAGGGAATCGCTGTGCAAGGGAGGCCAGCTTGGGCTACACAGTGAGTTCAAAGCCAGCCTCAACTACATAGTGAGATCCTGTCTCAGAAAAAAAACAAAACAAAAAAGTTACAGCATTCATGATATGAGTGCTTATTCATGAACCCTTAGGGTAGACTATAGTAAAAGAAGCTGAAGGTCAGGGGCTAGAGATTTAGCTCAGTGGCATAAGCGCCTGCCTTGCAATCTGGCAGTCGTGAGTTTGATCCCTGGTACCGATAAAAAGGAAAAAGACGAAAAAAAAAAGAAACTGAAGGTCAGGCTAGGAGATACAGCAGGGGTGTGCCCTTGGCTACATCAGCGATTTATTGAGTTTTGTTATATGATTCTCCATCTGTTTTAGGATAATGGAAGGAGTCCTAGGGTACTGTTTAAAATTAAATTGATGGATCATCAAGTGCAAGGTTCTTCTGAGTTCAATTCCCAGTACCAAAAAATTAAATTGATGGGAGGGAATAACTTCTCCAGTTCCATTGTTTCTAGTTATACTAAGCCTGTCTCAAATTAAAAAAAAAAAAAAAAAATGAAGTCAGCTATGGTGGTACATGTCTATAATCCCAGGACTCGGGTGGCTGAGGCAGGAGAATCACTGTTGGAGTCCAGCCTGGACTACAAAACAAGACCCTGTCTTTTAAAAAGAACAAAAGGGGCTGGGGATTTAGCTCAGTGTCATAAGCGCCTGCCTGGCAAGCGTGAGATCGTGAGTTTGATCTCTGGTATCAAAAATAAATAAATAAAAAGTAAAAAAAATAAAAACAAAAGGGGAGTCAGGCATTTAGCTCAGTAGCAAAGCATCTGCTTGGCAAGCACAAGGTTGTGAGCTTGATCCTCAGTGCCAATAAATAAACAAGGGCTAAAGATGTAACTCAGGGTGAAGGCCCTGGGTTCAATCCCCTGTGTGTGTGTCCAGGCATGTGCACATTTATGGTGAAGCAGCCAAATAAAGAAACAGGCTTAGAAGTTTTCTCAGTTGACTTTTACTCGAAGTCAGCTGAGTTAGTGGCAGGAAGGCAGCTGAGATTGCCTGGCAGGTAACAGTGCCCTAACCAACAAGGATTAAGAGATTCTTGAGTGGCAGCCTAACATGGCTGGCAGGCAGGTTCTGTTTACCTGTTGCTTTTTCAGTTTGAAGTAGTAACCAAACTTTCAGGATGAGAGGTTTCTCACAATAATCCATAACCTGGGATTTAACAATTCCTAATCACTTTAAAGAACTCCATCTGAATTGTGCATAATGTATTAGCACAGATTCTGAAGCAAAATGAAGTGCATTTCTGAACCTTCCCTCAGCTGCCTATCACAACCGGCCACCTCTCCTGTACAGGACTCGACAGGACATGCTGATGAAGGCGAGACACAGGTATGTCACTGTGGTAAGGGTGACAGATGCGCTTTGGTGAATTTAAAGAAGAGGCCTGGAGCGGAGCTCAGTAGGAGAGTGCTTGCCTAGCATGTGTGAACCAAGTTCCATCCCTAGCACCAAAAAGAAGAGAAAAGAAACAAAAGGAAACAAAAGAAAAACAAAACTATGCGAAACAACTTTCAAAAAGGCAGTTTACTTCGGGCATTTGAAATGCATTCCTTGAGACCAGGCAAAAAAGTGTGGATGGGGTGGGGGGAACAGACAGAGAGGAGCTAGAGAAAGGGAGGTGTGACCGGGACATCTTGGAAGGGACACCTGGAGCTGGGGTGCCGGGGCCGCAGCAACCATTAGTACAGTGTCTCGCGCGCGTGGGTCCGCAGATGGCGCAGCAGGTGCGAGTTGCGGCTGAAGCCTCGGCCGCACTGCGCACAGGAGTAGGGCCTGGCCCCCGTGTGCACCAGGAGGTGGCGGAGCAAGTTGCAGCTGCGGCTAAAGGTCTTACCGCACTCATGACACTCCTGGGGTGCCTCCCCCTCTTGTGCCCGCGCTGCATGGGTGACCAGGTGTCGCTGCAGGTGGGCATTTCTCCTGAAGCTGCGGCCGCAAGTCGGGCAGCTATATGGCCGCTCTCCAGTGTGGCTGCGGAGGTGGCGGGCCAGGTTGGAGCTGTTGCGGAAACGATGGCCGCAGGTGTCGCAGGCGTGGGGCTTCTCCCCTGTGTGGATGCGCTGGTGGCGTGTGAGGTGTGCGCTCTGGCTGAAGCATTCTCCGCACTCGCCGCAACGGCAGGGCTTCTCCCCAGTGTGGCTGCGCAGGTGGCGGGCGAGATCCTGGGTCTGAGTGAAGCTCTTGCCACACTGGGCACAGTGGTGGGGCCGCAGGCTGCCGTGGATCAGCAAGTGGCGGGCAAGGCCGGCGCGCCGCTGGAAGCGCTTCCCGCATTGCGGGCAGGAGTGCGGTTTCTCCCCAGTGTGCACACGTTGGTGGCTGGCCAGCTGGGCGCTTTGGGTGAAGCGGCGGCCACAGGCCTGGCAGGAGAAGGGCCGCTCGCCCGTGTGCACGCGCCGGTGCGTCACTAGGTGCTCATGGCGCCGGAATGCCTTTCCGCAATCGCCACAGGCATGGGGCCTGCGCTCACGACCAGGTTGATGGCCACGTGTACTTTCTGCGCCCCCGTGATCCTTGTCCCTGGCATGGATGCGCAGATGACGTTTCAGGCTGGAGCGGCGCTGAAAGGTCTGCCCACAGTGGGTACACAAGACCTCGGCCACTTTGGTCTCGGCCACTTTGGCCTCAGCCTCTGGGGTAGGCGTGGACTTCAGGTCCTGGGCATGAGACAGGAGGTGATGCACGAGGCTGGAGCGCCGCTGGAAGCCGCGGCCGCACTCTGCACACAGGAAGGCGGGCTCCGAGGAATGTGTGAGCAGGTGCTTGGCCAGATGGGAGCTCTGGCGGAAGCGGTGGTTGCAGAGGTGGCAGGCGTGAGGGCGCTCGTCTGTGTGTGTGCGCATGTGCAGTTTGAGGATGGAGCTCCGACCGAAGCTCTTTCCACAGCACAGGCACAGGAAGGAGCGTGAGCCTGGGTGCGAGTTCAGCTGGTGCTTCTTCAGGCGGGAGAGCTGTGGGAAGGTCACTCCACAGTCCGTGCAGATAAACTGCGTTTTGGTGCCTGACTCAGAGGTGTTCTCCATCACTGTGAGCTCCAAAATCTCACTGCTGTCAAGCGGGATTGCTCCTTCACTAGTGTTCTTTGCCTCCTGCCCTGCTGTCTGAGCAAAAGGCTCTTTTGCCAAATCAGTGATGTTCACCTGGGACTCTGCTGAGATGGCAGTCGGCCATGCAGCCTTTTGGGGCTCTTCCAATTTAAATTCCTCCTTGTCTGGAGTTCTGCTTTCAAATCCTGAGAAGCAAACACAGGAACGTTAGACCTCTTCTGGGGCTCTGGGAATCTCCAGAACCAGATGGGCCAAGAAGTTTAAGAAACCTTAAGATCCTCCAAAGATGGTCAAAAAACTCAGGCCAGGGATATAGTTCAGCAGCACAGTGCCTGCATGACAAGTACAAGGTTGAGTTTGGTTCCCCAAAGAAAAAAAATCAGTAAAATATGGGACTGGGGATTTAGCTCAGCGGCATAAGTGCCTGTCTTATTTATAAGCAGGTAGTCGTGAGTTCAATTCCCATTACGGATAAAAAAGGAAAAAGACAAAAAAAAAAAAAATCAGTAAAATATACGTAACAAAATACCAATTTAAAACATACATTTTGGGTGCATTTAGCAAATTCACAGTGTTGTGCAGCTAGCACTTCTACCTCCAAATAGAAACCTAATATCCATAGGGAATCACTCCCTTGACTACCATTGACTTGACTACCATTTCATTTGTTTTGCTTTTATTTTTGTAGTTTTAGGGTATTGTAGTTTTGTTTTTTAGCAGGGTTTCGCTATGTAGCCCAGGCTGGCCTCTAACACCAATCCTCCTGCCTCAGCTTCCTGAATCCTGGGATTACAGGCATGCACTACAAAGCCCAGCGGGTGCTAGGGATTGATTCCTGGTGCAATAACTAGGTAGCACTGAACAGCATGTGCCCAGCTTTTGACTCTTGTTGTTTGTTTGTTTGTTTTTGGTAGTATTGGGGATTAGAATCAGGACCATCATACTGAACTACATCCCCAGCACTTTTTATGAGACAGGGATTCACTACGTTGCATAGGCTGGACTCAAACTTGCAATCATCCTGCCTCAGCCTCCTAGGCACGTGCCACCACACCTGGCTTTACCTTTTTTTTTTTTGTCTTTTTGAGACCACTGCCCTTGAACTCACTTTATAGCCCAGGCTGGTTTCAAACTTACACTGATCCTCCAGCCTCAGCCTCTGAGTACTAGAATTACAGGCATGCGCCACCATGCTCGGCTGACCAACTGTTTCAAAAGCTCAAAATTAACAGGTTGATGGTTAGACCAGATACAAGCAGCTGTCTGAAAGAAAGACTATGGGTATGGGGGCTGGGGATTTAGCTCAGTGGCATAAGTGTCTGCCTTGCAAGCAGGCAGTAGTGAGTTCAATCCCTGGTACCGATAAAAACAAAAAAAAGACAAAAAAAAAAAGACTACGGGTATGATGGTGTACGCATGTAACCCCAGCACTCTAGAAGGCTGAAGGAGGAGGACTGAAAGTTCAAGAGCAGCCTCAGGAACTGAGTGACATACTGAGACCTTGTTTTGAAATAAAAACTTAAAACAGCCAGGCATAGTGGCACATACTTGGACTCCCAGCCCTCAGAAAGTGGAGGCAGGAGCATCACTGTCCATTTGAGGCCAGGCAGGGCTACAGAGTAATTTCAAGGCCAGACTGAACTATGTAGCAAGACCCTGTTTCAAAAAAATCATCTCTCCCCAAAGTTTAATGTTAAAAATGTTAAAATAAAGAAATAAAAACAAAACAGAACAAACAAACAAAAAACTACAAGAAAAAGGACTGAGGATGAGAGTTCAATGCAAAGGCCCTGGGTTCAATTTCCAGGACCATCAAAAAACCCCACAACAAACCCAGCAATAAGGCCCATAAATCAGGTAGGTTCTGGAACTATGAGGGCAGAATCCTTTGGTGATCAAGATGATAGGAGAAAGGGGCTGCTTACCTTTAGAGTGCACAGGCCAGGTCTTCTTAGCTGGAACATCCTCAAAGGTTAGGGACTCCTGTAATGACAGCAGGACCCCTGGGTGAATGAATGAGGCATGAGGCACTGGGGCCTGACTGGACTAATTAAAGAAGACAAAGAGCTGGCAAATGGGACCACCTGAAATCCTGACACTTGGAAGGCTGAGGTAAGAGAATCACAATTTCAAGTGATATCTGAGCAATTTAGTGAGAACCTGCCTTAAAATCAAAAGGTGGTAGAAAGTTGAGGGTTGGGGATATAGGTCTACAAAAGCTTGGCTTTAATCTCCAGTACCGAATGGGGGGGGTAGCACAAGGCAGGAAAATTCCTGGGCTTGAGAAGGACCTAAGGAGATGAACGGGTGGTGAGTCAGCTTACCAGCACAGCAGCCAGCTCCTGATCACGGGAATACTCCTCAGGCCACAATGAGGGGCCTTGGAGGGCTAACAGCATAAAGGGAAGAAGAAAGCACTGTTAAAAGAAAACCCTCTTCGATCCCCGGTACCGCACAAAAAAAAAGAAAGAAAACCCTGTCTACTACGTGGCTCCAAGGACATGTCCTCCATTGCACATGCCCGTGAAGCCATCCCAGCCCTCTCCCATCCTGGCCCCTTCTGCCCTTATCCATGTATTCAGTCCCCCTGTCTGGGCACCAGCTCCTCACTGCTTTCTTGCAGAATCTGGAGTGTCCCCTGGGGTCCTGGGCTCAGTGGCTGCCGGGAACTGGGGGTAGGTGTCCACTCTGTGGGCTCAGCAGGTCTGGCAGGCCATGGCTGAGATGGGGGCACTTCTTCATTCAATGGCAGCAGGGCTGGGGGCTCTTCCTTTTTGGGACTGTAGCTGGCAACCTGGCAAGGGCCCCTCTGTTCCTCCAAGATGATGTCTGTATGGGGACAATTCTTGCTGGCACTGAAACTAAAATCCTGTTGAAAACACATTCGCATTAGGAGGTGACAGCCCTCCACAGGAATGGGACAGAGGAGCGGGGAGAGTCACATAATCAGGAGGGTAAGGAGATTGTGGGTAGGAGAAAGTGAGGTTTTCAGAGATTTCTTCTGCGAGTGATCAGTCCCTCTCCATGATCCTCTTACCAGTGGCCCTGCATGGCTGGTGTCCCCGGGCACACCCTCCAGCAGCAGCACCACCTCCTCTCCATCCCGGAGTGGCTGCCCCTGTAGGCGGCCCAGCAGGTGCTGGGGCAACACACTCAGAAACTGCTCCAGCACCAGTAGCTCCAGGATCTGCTCCTTGGTGTGTAGAGCCGGCTGCAGCCAGTGACCACAGAGTTCCCGCAGACGGCTCAGGGATGCCCGTGGCCCCATGTCCTCCTTATACTGGAAGCATCTGAACAGCTGGTGAGCCACCTCAGGCCTTGGCCGCCTGATGCCTCTGAGGCCAGCAGCCTCCTCCTCCTCCAGCTTGACAGCTCCGAGCTGCTCTTGCCCCGGGGCAGCTGGTACTGGCTCTGCCAGCATCCTTCACAGCAGCGTACACTTCCCACAGCTGGGCCTGCTAAGGTTCCTCTCGTTGTCTTCTCTCACACCTATGGAGCTAAAGATCCTGGATTAGGATCTGCTGCAGGGAAGCTGACCTGACATGGATCATCAAGATGCTCATCAGGGCTGGGATATAGCTCAGTGGCATAGTGCCAGCCTGGCAAGCACAAGGACCCGAGTTCAATTCCCAGTACAAAAACAACAACAGCATCAGATGGTGCATGCCTGTAATTTTAACAATCTGAGAAACCGAAGTGAGAGGATTGCATTAGGAATACCATGTCTAGGGCTGGGGATTTAGCTCAGTGGCATAAGCACCTGCCTTGCAAGCAGGCGGTCGTGAGTTCGATCCCCGGTACCTATAAAAAAAAAAAAAAGAAAAAAAAAAGAGAGAAAAAAGGAATACCATGTCTAGCTTAGTACAATGGCTTGGATTCAAACACCAGTTCTACTAACTCCGCCCTTCCCTAGAAGAATACTTTCTCCCATGATCACACGATGGCTCATGAGAGTAGGGCAATTCAGGTCTTAGCTAGAACAATGCAGCAAGGGCAGAGAAATTAGGCGGTTCCCTGTGATCATCCCATCCTACAGGCCCATCAAGACTTTACATCTCATTGCCTCAGTGATTAAAAGGAGCATCCTCCAGAGAGGAACAGCCTGCCCTTCCCCTCTTCCCACACACATAGCACACATAGCAGACAGGTCCTCCACTCTAATCCAGTCCAGTCCATAGGGTGGGAAATAAGGAACAAGTCAAACCACTGCTTGAACAAGCAATTCAAAAGATGTCTCAAAAAGGACTTTAGCAAACAGCACTGAGTTCCTCAGTGTGTCATAGAAATAAGTGCCTGTAGGAAGCACAGTTCCTCAGGAGGCTAAAGAGTTGTTCCTATCCAGATGTAACCCTAGATTAAGATGAATGTTTGCTTTGGTTTGGTTTTTTGAGATAGGATCTTGCTATATGTTCCAGGCTGGCCTCCCACTCACAGTAATTGATACTTTTGCCTCAGCCCCCCAGGTTTTGGGATTACCAGGCTCTACTACAGATGTATGTACTTTTAAAAGAGTCTCAGAAGAGTCTAAGGTCAGGTGGAGGAAAATGAATGTGAATGAGATAGATTGTAAATTTGTTAGACAGGATGCTAGTCTTGTGGGTGTACTCAGTGTTTTTTTGGTACCAGGAATTGACCTCACACTTGCCAGGAAGGTGCTGTGCTGTTGAGATACAGCTCTTGATTTTAAAAAAAAAAAAAAAAAGGGAGGGGGAGGTGCTGGGGATTTAGCTCAGCGGCATAAGCGCCTGCCTTGCAAGTGTGCGGTCATGAGTTCGATCCCTGGTACCAATTTTATAAAGAGAGAGAGAGAGATACAGTTCTGGCCCTTTGGTGTTTCTATTAGAAGATGTTGTAGCAGAGTGTGATGACATATACTGCCTGATCCCCATACTCTGGGAGGCTGAGGCAGGAGAATGAAAGGTTTGAGGCCTGCCTGGGCAACTTTTTACTGTGTTTCAAAATTTAAAAAGGGGGAGGGGGCGGCTAGAGATATAGTGTAGTGTGAAATTCCTGGCTTCATTTGCTCTTCAGTCAAAAAAAAAAAAAAAAAAAAAAGAAAGAAAAGAAAAGAAAAAAGGGGTCAGGGTTTAGCTCAGTTGCACAAGCGCCTGCCTGGCAAGTGTAAGATCCTGAGTTTGGTACCAGGAAAAAAAGAAAGAAAAAGAAAGCCACAGGGTTCAGCCATGTTTATGGGCTGATGAGATCCACATACAAAGTCCGTTAACCTGCTCTTTCTTTCAACTTCTCTGGATGGTTGAGCACTTTCAAAGTAAAACACTGGAGGAAAGTTTGTCAGTACTTTCTCCTTGATCAAGCATCTGGACCCTCACTTTATGGCTCAGAAGGTGTCTCTCAATGATCAAGGCCGCCGCCAATCAGCCAGACAGGGCTGAGATCAGTGGTTCTCAGTCCCAGCCCCAGAAGCTCAGGCCAGCTGTAAAGCGGTTGTTACAGAAAGGAGAGCTTCTGGGCACATCCAGGTCAGGGATCTGGGCTGAAGAGGGTATTTCAGGTGAGAGGACTGGTGGGCTGAGCTTTGTGATAGGTGAGCCCTGAAGGCAGGAGGGCCCCTAGTGGATGTGCCTTGGAGCCAGGGCAGCCCCCCAATCCTGGATGTTCCTCTATCACTCCTCTCTGCCGTACTCACTCTGATTTGCTCTAGCTAGCAATGGAAATAGTGTCTCTAATGGGACACCTGGGGGCACTAGTTCCACAGAATCAGCCCCCCAGGTCCTATCCCTGTGGGACTATTTCCTTTTTGGGGTGGCTCAGGGCTGTCAAAGAGGACTTCCATGCACAGAGGAAGCAGTGGTCCTCTAGCACCCTCCAGGAGGATCAAGCTTCTCAGAACAGGCTGCTGTTACCTCTCCTAGCCATTCTCATTCTTCCAAACCCTATGGGCACCCCCAGCCTCCAGCATTGCTCCCTATCCCCTAACAGCACAGACCAGAGCCTCACAATCATAACAGCACTTGGCAGGGGTACATCAGTGCCAGTCAACCACGAGTTATTATTTTCATGGGCACTGTATATAATACCAGTAATGCGGTTATCTGAGGGCACTAAGGCTATGAGGCACCAACACAGCCAGAGGAAAAGCAGCTTCAGGCGTAGAGCAGGAATCGATCTGCCTAGTCAAGAGTTTGGGGAGCCTCCTTTACATGGGACTGAAGGCAGTGTACATGTGTAACCTCGGCACCCAGGAGGCTGGGGCAGGAGGACCACTGAATTCAAAACCAGCTTGAACTACATAGTGAGTTCAAGGTCAGCATGAACTACATAGGGAGATGCTGTCTCAAAAAAAAAAAAAAAAAAAAAGAATGTAAGTAAGTAAATTCGTGGCCAGTCTGAGCAATTCTGAAAAATATTAATTAATTTTGAGACAGAGTTTCACCATAGTTTAGACCATCTTTTAACTCATTACGTAGCTCAGGTTGGCCTCAAACTCCTGAGTGATCCTCTTGCTTCAGCCCACCAAGTGCTGTGACTACAGGAGTGCCCCACCACACCCAGCATTTTTTTTGTACCAGAGATTAACTCCCAACCTAATGCTTACCAGGCAGGATTGTGCCACTGAGCTATATTTCTGGTTTCTTATTTATTTCACAGCAATCCTTCTGCCTCAGGCTCCTGAGTGCTGGGATTACACATGTACACTGCCCTTAGTCCCATGTAAAGGAGGCTCCCCAAACTATGTGACTACTGTCAGGCGAGCCTGGGCAATTGAGAGACTTAGGGAGACCATAAGAAAATAAGAAAACTAAAAAGATTTGAGATGTAGCTCAGTAAGAAAGTCCTGTGTTCAATCTCAAGTACTGACAAAAACAAAACAAAATGAAACACATTCTCAGGTGGTGTGAACAGGGTGGGAGATGGCAGGGTACACAGGAAACCTGGACTTCAAGCATGGAAAAAAAGAGAAAAAGAGAAGGATCTGACACTGAAACCAGGAGCCAGGCCCCATCTCTGCTGCACCTCAACCTCCCAAACACAGCCTGGGCTCTTGGCTACATTCCTTGGGGTTTTCCTGTTGCAGCTCTTCCTTCCCCCACTGGTGCCTCCCTCTGGGGCCCCACAACATATCACCTGTTAGTGGCTGGGGCAAAATCCCAGCTGAGTGTTTCTTTCCCCTGGCCTTCCAATAGGCGGTAAGTATTTGTTCAGCCCTAGAAGGGACTTCAATAATTGTCAGTAGATGGAAGGAAACAGCAATAATGTCTACCTCAGAGATTAAAAGTTGAGGAACATATGAACGACTAGGGTAGAGATCTTTGATAAATATGTAAGAAAAAGAAATTGTGTTGCATGTAGTTGTAGACACACAAAGCACCTTAGAGAGCTGATCCCTTTCTATTTTTCCCTTCTTTCCTTTCCCCCTCCCCTCAATCCCTTTCAGCAGTCACTTCCAACAACAGCAGGCAGGAATAGAGAGAGACCTGCTGGGGCACCACCCTGAGACCCAGTTCATCACACTCCAGCCGATGCACTACATCATAATTTCTTTATCTGACAAGTGCAAAGACCAAGGATAACTTGCTCATCATGGTCACACTAGATGTAGGCAAGACTGGCTGTGAGAGTGTAATTCTAGACCCCATAAATCTCAGGAACAGAGAGAACCAGATTCCCTCCGGGGCTTGGCGATTTTCTTAGCTAGAATATCACAGCAGGACTCAAAAGAAGTAAGAGGATTCCAAATTCCAGCCTTTATGCCTAGCCACATGGGGTGGCCGGAATCTCCCTCCAGGTGAGGCTTCCCCAAAAGGTTTCCAAAAAGTGGAATTCAAGCAAGTTAGCTGGTCCCTCCCCCCAAGTCTCCAGGACAAAGGCTCTATTAATATGCATATCTGTAGGGGGTCAGCTAGGTTGGCGGCGGGAGAGCTCTTCAGCCACCATCTAAGTCTGACCAGCCCAATTTGGAACACTGGAAAAGCAGACTGCCCTCCGGTAGAGGTCCTCTAACGAGACCCACACTGACACCTCAGAGCCCAGCCAGGGAAATCGAAGGGTGGGAGTCTGCGGGAAATGTCCCTTCCTCTGCTCACACAGCTGCAGGTGCCCCATTGGCTCCTCTTTGTTGGTTAGGCTTCCCTTCAACAGGGTTCAGTGAGTGAGGCCAGCAGCTTCACCTGGGGACACGTGGAGCCTGCCTCCTTCATTATCAAGGACATCTTGGAACCCTCCCTGATGCCCCCATCGCTGAAGACCACGGAGCTGGCTAGCAGGGTTCCCCAGCACAAGCACTCCCTCTCCATTCTCCCAAGACTATTCCAGCCCCCGCCCATTACCCCCCCCCCCCAGAGGCCTGGAGTCCCCATGTCTCCATGCTGCTGTGAGCCTATACCACAGGCCTCCAACTCACCACTCCCGAGTTCCCACTACAGAGGCAGAAATGGTAGGGGGTTCTCTGAGGGCTCCAGGACCAGAGCCGGGTTCCACCAGCCTAGGGAAGGTCTCCCAAGAAATGGGACAGGAAGTTCCCTCTCCAGTCCCATTAAGGTGATGAAAGAGCTTCCTAAAAGTTCGGGATGGGGTGGGGAAGTGGGCGGGGCCAGAGAAATAATCTGGATTCCGACCCTATGGTGCCTGAAGTGGAAGTCTAACTACCTCTCCCAGCCTTTATTCCCTTCGCCCATCAGGATGGACCAGCGTCCCGTGGAGATCTGAAAGACTGTCCCTTTCTTTTAGGACTAGAGCTGTCCGGGGCCAACCCGGACTATAGCGAGACTCTGGGTAAAAAATAAATACATAAGGCTGAGAATTTAGCTCAGCCGCACAAGCGCCTGCTTGTCAAGCGCTAGGTCTTGAGTTCCATCCCCAGTACCAAAAAATAAATAAATACACAAATCGCCTGAAATCCCAGCACGGGGGAGGCTGAGGCAGGAAGATAGTGAATTTGAGGCCACTCTGCGTCACATAGTGGACCATTACAAAAACAAAACTAAGTAAATAAAATGTCTGTCGTGTACCAACTTCCGTGCTAGTCTTTTCATTCATGTGACAAATTTTCGGCAAGGGTATTCGGTGTGCCTGGCCCTCGAGCTAAATAAAAAGTACGAGGTTCTATCCTCGGGCAGGCAGTGAAAGTGTGCCAAGAAAGTGGGACAGGAAGTGAATGTGTGGGCTGGACTACACGGTCCTCCCAAAGTTCCCCAGAATCCTTCCTGTGGCTCCCCTTCCCTACCGTACTGAGGATGAGCCCAAGGCCTTCACAACGAGCTACATCCCCGCCCTTTTTATTTTGAGACGGGGTCTCGCTAAGTGGCTACATCGTCCAGGCTGGGTTTGACCTGTCCATCTTCCTGCCTCAGCCTTGCAGAGTGCTGGGATTACAGGCGTGAGCCATCCCGTGCTGCTCTCGCACGTGCCTCGTCTCCGCTCCACGATGGGACGGCGGGAGCCGGCAGGGAGAGCAGCGACCTCCCCAAAGGCAGCGTCGCCAGCCAAAGCCAGGCCACTCCGTTTGCGCTGCGGCGCTGGGGTT